CAAATGCACAATATTGTCACAAAACAACTAGCAAGCCAGGAAGACAGGGAGAGGAGGCAATGACACACTGATGGCTCTGGCACTCAGCTGTTCCTGGAGACCTCCATGTTCCAATTGCTCCCAGACTTGTAAAGAATCACCTCTCCCTTCTGATGGGGGGTTGGGGGAACCAGAAAGTCATATTGTCAAGAGGCACTCCAGGCTGGGAGAGGTTTGTGACTGCTTTGCATCCCACATCTTTCTTTCCCCAATGATTTTTTTAGTGACATCTTTTTTTTTTTTCTGTCACCAGTCACATTGCCATCTTTGACAGCCAGCTCTGACAACACGTCCTTGACATTGAAGTCCACATTGTCCTCAGGATAAACCTCATTCAAAGCTTCATGATATGTTGAAGCAAATGTTAACTGGAGCAAAGAAGACCACTGTGCTGGGTTTGAGAACACCCATCGCAACTCAGCCCACAGTGGCAGTCCCAATATCACTAATTTTGCAGATGTCCTGGAAGGGGAGATGAAAGGGTTTGGCACTGGATGAGTTTGTGGCAAGATTCCACTGGCATTGCCATTTTTATGGGTGCCATTCCATCCCTTGAAGCAAGGCACGTCCGCACCTGGCTCAGCATGTTGTCACAATCCAACTAGAAATTGGCACAAATGCTATTGTGCTGAGGTTATAGGCAATTTTCTTAACATAGGTGCTGACACCCTCAGTGACTTCCTGATATCCTCTCTGGCTGTAGGGTCGCTCAATGGAATCCATTTTGTAAACACCAACATTAGTTGTTTTACACCTGAAACAGAAAGTGGGCCAATTCTTATACCACCTTCAAACTCACCAAACCAGCAGCAATAATCAGGCCAGCACAGCCAAACTGAGGTGTGCCTGTGAGCTTTCTTGACAAAATCTCTGTGTTCTGGGGCATCAGTGATGTTCATATAATACTTGCTGGTTTCAAATCCCCACAGGGAGATATTAGTGGTGATACCATGCTCACGATTCAGCTTGCCCAAGACCCAGACATACTTTACAAAGTCCTTTCTCAACAGCCTCCTCAAATGTTTTGATGGCTCTTTGGTCCATTACATCACATTTGTAAGTCAGAGGACCAGATGTAAGACAGATGCCTGAATCTACCTGTCCAGTGATGACAATTGTTCATGTGATTTTTTTCCCCCTATTTGGAAAACTGGGACTTAGTGGTGGCTTTCCTAATACTTGCATTCTGGCAACCTAGTCTATATTCTGTTCCAATGGATGATTTGTCTGTCCTTCTACAGCTGTTATAGGGCAGCCCCAATACAAAACGGGGTGCCTGACTGTGGGTCCTCACCTGCGCGCTTAAAAGGACTTATTAATGCTCTGCTGTAGGCACACGCGGAAGGTTAATAAAAGGTTTATTTACAAGGGAAGGGGAAATGAGGAAATGTACAGCTCAGGGAGAAAAGTGGGAGACAAAGTTTTAAATGAGTCCTACCTGATCCGCCGATCTGGAATCCCAAATGGCACTCTGAGAGCTGGCTGCAAGCCAGGAGCCATGAAGCCAGGAGGCGAGTGACAGCGAGCCAGCCCAAGGCCCACGTGTTTGGTTTTTATACCCAACCTGGCTGCTTAACTCCACCCTCAGGTCCCAGCCACCTTCCCTTTGGTGGTGATGGGATTTGTCTTTCCCAATGTCTTGATGGCTTTAGTTTGGAGTGGGAGTGGAGTCCACAAAGCCTGTATGGGATTAGCTCAGGACATTTCCCCCTAACACCACTACTATTTAAATTTGATTATTATAACTTGACATAAATCTTCATGCATGATAAATGGGAATACATGAACATCCACTTAACAGATATGAATGAAAAGTGTAGCTGCTGGAGATGAAGTGCTTAGCTATTACAGGTTGGACACATCTTGTTGCTAATTCACCACAGTCCAGGGGTCAGTTCACAAGTTTATATACTAAAAAATCTGTATGCTGAGATTTCTTATAGCATTTCACGAGTAAACCTACTTTTTAAGATGGTATACCTTTAGCCAAGCTCAAGCAACAGGTTTATGTATTCGTTAACACAGGCATTTATTGATTCAACAAATAGTATTTATTGAGCCCTGTGGTATGCCAAGTCCTGGGATAGAGTGAGCATGGAGCACTGGACTTCGTTTTGTGCCGTTATAAACCACACATCTTAGTAAAGGTGTTTGGCAAACAAATAAATACCTAATATCCCCAGTGGGGTGGGCAGAGAAAATACAGGAAAATAAAAGAAAGTAAGAAGATGGGAGTGAGAAAAAGCAGATCCCATGTTCCTGACATGTGGGCTCTTCCTGTACATTCTGAAAGTCTGTGTCATGTAAGGTCTGGGCAGAGATTCAGATGGAAGGAATAGCAAGTGCAAAGGCCCTGAGGTAGATACCAGCTTAGAATGTTCTAGGAATAGTGATGCTTATCTTCAATAGAGCATAATGTTCTTGGGGGCAAATAAGATCCTTTCCCTTCATGCGGTCCTTTATGTAGAAAGTCATGTAATATCCCAAGGTTGGTTGGTAGGCCTGGATTCTGAACTGGTGTGCTTAGTGACCTGGCATCAGCGGTTCATGCCATCAAGCTGGATTAGTCTGAAGCTTCCATCTTTACTTCTGAGTCTTATCTTACCAGGTATGTCTTGGCTAAGGTCAGGAAGGGCACTGACAACTTGTTTCTTTGTTTTTACTTGAGGTTCAGATAAACTGGATGAGTGGCTCCGCCATTTATTAACAGGGAAATACAGGCAAGTTTCCTCACTCTTAAGTCTTTATAAGAGAGATGATAATTTGGGGCCTCCCCGGTGGCGCAGCGGTTGAGCGCTGGGTTGCGAAGTTGCCTGCGGCCTCTGCAGCGCCGGTTCCATCCCCGGCTGCTCCCCGGCCACCGGAGGAGGGTCCCACATGGCGTGCAGACCTCTCCTGCCGCCCGCTGCTCCCCTCAGCAGTGTACTTCGGTCCCTCTGCCTGCTCTGCTCCCTGCTCTGGCTCTGGTGAATTCTCACCCTCCCCCGCTTCTGACTGTACCCAGTGCATGTATAAACAAAACAAACAAACAAACCAGCAAACAAATAAATAAAGCATGCCTATATAAAAAAAAAAAAAGAGAGAGATGATAATTTGCCCAAAGTCACACAGGCAGAAACCGAATACAGGGTTTTTGATGTCTCTTACCTTTTCCAATTGCCTCTTGGTCAGGTTGGTCCCACCAGACAACAAAGTTGGTGGTTGGTTAGTAACCACAGACCAGAACCAGCAGCCAGAATTAAATCCTTACCTTTACTAACAAGAATGTTGCCATTTACAGTTGAATTTTGACTCTATCTTTGTCTCAAGTGCATCACTGGGCATCACTTCAAATTTCCTGGGTGACTCCCTCTGCCCTGTGCACAACATAGGCATTCCACAGAAGATGGTCTTGCCAGGCCAGACAGGGTCAATGCCATGGGCTTTTTCTATTGGAGACTCTGAATTCCAGCAGGCCAGACCGGGCCCCAGGCTCAGACACTCACTACACACTATTTATAGGACACAAGAGGGCTCTTCCTCAAAGAGGACACCTGATGCAGAATTCCAGGAATAATCTCATGAACTGGGTTATGATTTATTTGAACACATCACCAAGTGTCCTAGAAGTTGTACTTAAAAATGCCCCAGACTCTCAATTTACTCCCACAGACCCCCGTTTTATTTCAGAGCATTTAATGCAGCTCTCAAGTCAGCAAATGACATTTTACAAAAACACAATAATTCTCTCCTCCTGTCCCATCAAAACCCTTTCTTCACGAATCACATCATTGCCTCAGCTCAGGACAGCCCCAAGAATTGGGTCGGGCTGGCTTTCCTGCCTCCATTTTAATGACTGGAACTTGGACGTGGAGACCCCGAGCTGTCCGCGGGGGGTTTTCACTTGGTTCCACCCCCCAAAGCCCGCGAGGCCGCGCAGGAGCCAGTCGGGGGAGCTCGGGAGAGGTCAGCCCGGTACGACATCGCCCCCGACCAGTGTGTCCGGTTCGGGCTGAGAGAAATAAGCGAGGGGCCAGGGTTCGGGGCACAGCACGACCCCACCCAGGTGCCCGCGGGGGGCCTTCCCCGCCCGGCCCCTCCTGCCAGGCCGCTCCCAGTGGGCACCCCAGGGTGGCCCCTAGTCAAGCACAGATCTGACTGCGCGGCGACGAGACCCAGCGCGCAGCGGGAGTGGCGGATCTGGGGGTTCTTCGAGCCCCTGCGCCCCAGGCCGGCGCGGGGGGCCCGAGGGTGTCCCCTGGACCCCGCGCCCGCAAAGACTAGACTGGCAGCCCGACGCCTCCCGCAAGCCCCGCCCCTTCCGCAGGCCCGGCCCCCACAAGCCCCGCCCTTTCCGCCGGCCCGGCCCCGCCTCTTCCGCTAGCCCCGCCTCTTCCGCTAGCCCCGCCCCCGACGCACGTGCGGCGCGGAGAGGCGCGCGGGCCTGGCTGGAGCGCGCGCCCCGCGGGGTCCTGGGCGCCGGGTCCCCGCCGCGTCCCGCCCCCTCCGCCATGGGGGGCCCGAAGAGGAAGGCCCGGGGCGGCCAGGACGGAGCGGCCTCCCCCGGGGGCGCAGCCAAGCGGGCGCGCAGTGAGGAGCTCACGGGCGCGAGCTTCAAGGCCCAGCTGAGGGCCCCGCAGGGCGCCGAGCGCGGTGAGTGCGGGGCCGGCGGGGCGGGAGCACGTGCGCGCCCGGAGCCCCGTCCGGGGCCACGGCCTCCCTCCGCTCGGCGGCCGCGGGCCCGCTCCCTGTGGCGGACGGCCGGGCTTCCGGGCCCGCCGGGGGCCGCTCCGCGCGGGTCGTTCACCGGCCCTGGACGGCCTGCGACGGGCCCCCGACTTGCTTAGCAGGGACAGTCCAGGCGACCGCACGCGCGCCCCACCCGGCAGCGCCCCCGGCCCCCGGCCAGCGCTTGTTGCAGTGGCCGGGAGAGAAAATGCAGGTGTCTTGCTTAGCACGCACACAGCAGAAGCGCTTGGGGTTCTGACAGGCCCGGCTTGGGGGTGTCGGGGGACAGGCCCCGCAGCCTGCAGTAGCCCCGGCCCTCAGGCGTTCACCTGAGGGGACAGCTGCGGCAGCTCGACCAGGAGGCACCGCGTGGGCTTGTCTGTGGATCAGGATTGAGCGAGTGGCTGAAGGGGAGCAGATTCTGTCACTTTATTTCATGCTTTAGCAAGTGTGGCCACCCTTCACAACACCTCCTCTGTCATCCTTAGGTTCTGAGGAAAAAGCACAATTGAATGTCAAAATAAAGTGGTGACTGTTTTTCCTCAGGTTAGCGTTCATGGCCATAAGAGCCTCCTTTTCCTGTTTTTCTCCCACAGATTTTGTTTGTAGCCTTTTGATACCTACAACTGTTAGCCAGTGCTGGGAAGAAGGGTAATACCTTCTGTAGCACAGAATCACACATATCATTCATTCATTCATTATTACTAGGGGCTATTACTTCTAGGGTAGAGATAAAACGAGTAAAAATCAGACACACAGGACTTGCCACTGTGGAGCTTCAAGAACAGTCAAGTGGGGGAGGGGGTTCCCATCAGTAAGATCACCTGTGAATAGTTCCCACGACCTAGCCTCAAGTGCAGAGGGGTGTGATGCCTACAGCTGCCTGACGGGCCTCAGGCTTAAAAAGATCATAACCACATTTCAGGGTTTTGCACAGATAGCTCCATGACATCCAAGTGCTGTGCCATTTGAACCAATTTTGGTAGGAAATCTGGGCTGTTGGGCCATGGATACAGGAGAAATAATTTGAAGTTGTGGCAGAGCCAAAGTCAGAGAGTGAAGATGATTCCCTGTGGGGTGTGCTGGCTTCGTGTTTGAGTCAGGGCCCTATCTTGAATTCTCTCCGCCTTTCAATATGTTCCCCTAACTTCCTGTTAGGATCCCCCTCATTGAAAGATCAGGGAGTGGAATTGATGGATGGAAGTGGGGTTGTTTTCAATCCAGCCATGAGGAAAGTTTGTTTTGCTTTTTATTTATTTTCCAGCTTTATTGAAATGTTATTGATCTGTCGCACGTATAAGTTTAAGGTATACTGCCCGATGGTTTGAGATACCTGTATATATTGCAAAGTGATTACCACAGTAAGGGTAATTAATATCTCTGTTCCTTCACATAATTCTCTTTTGTTGTTGCTGTTGTGATAGCATTAAAAGCTCTTAATAACTGTCTAGTGTACAGTACAGTACTGGTGAGTATAGTCACTGTGCTGTATGGAGGAGATTGCCAGAACTTAACCTCATCTTAGAGCCAGGAACTTATCCTCTTTGACCAGCATCTCCCCATTTTCCCTACCCCCAAGCAACCATTGTTCTTTCTAAGGATCAGCTTGTTTAGAGTCCAAACATAAATAAAAACATATAGTATTTGTCTTTTTTCGATCTTACTTACTTCACTTAATGCCCTAAAGGTCCATCTTGTCTCAAATGGCACAATTTTCTTCTTTATGGAGAAATAACATTCCATTTCTGTGTGTGCGTGTGTGTGTTCCATTTTCTTTTTCCATTCTTTCTCTGATCTCTTATTGTACCTCCTTCACATAGCAGGGTACTTGCTGCAGTTGGTGCATGTGGAGCGCTGCAGGGTTAGATTGGTGAAAACCCAGAGGGTGTTCAGGAGGGATCAATGTCAGCAGCAGGGAGGCGGTTCCCAGGATCGAGAAGAGCTGTGCTCCAAACCAACATCTTTGGAAGTTGCTGCCCACGACTTCAGTGGAGATAGAGAAAAGGCTTTATCATAATACTTGAACTCCTTATCCCCATGTTGTTACTGCCTTCCCCATCTCAGTAAGTGGTAATTCCAACCACCCAGACATGATTGGAATCACATCTGCCAAAAATCTCCCTCTGTCCCAGTCCATTCCCTTGCTGTGTTGGTTTTGCGCCCCTCTGTCTCCTCTGTCATTCCAGTATAGACAGCACCTCCTTAAACTCCAGGCTGTAGCTCCTGAAATCCAGGGCTGCTGCTCCTCCCCTGATGCCCATGAGCAGTATCCTGCTGCCTTCATGGAGCCCCGCCCGCTTCTCTGATTTCATCTTAGGCCACCCTGTCCATTCACTTACCCATCCACCCACCATGCCTGGCCACACTGCACTTCCTAACCTCGGGGACTTGCATATCCTTGACCCAGAACACCATCTCTCCCCTTGTCACCCCAAATTATTATTAACCATTATCAGGTTCAACATTACTTCCTTAAAGAAGTCTTCCCAATCTAAACCATGTTCCCCAGTTGTTCCCATCATTATGCCTTTGACTTTTGGACTTTTGCTTTGTAGCATTACCTCAGTAATTCTCTATTTAAACGATTGTGGTGGGTGCTTAGCAAATACTCAGGAAGTTAATGTTGGTCTCCTCAGTTAGACTGCTTTCCCGGCCCTCATTGTGAACAGGTGCTCGTGCAGGGGTGGCTGTAAGGATGACGTGCAGAGACGGCAGCTATGCAGATGCCCGTCCTCACTGCGTGCCATCCTGGACTGCAGGAACGAGTTGTAACAGTTTGGAAAATGATTCCTTCACACCTCCTGTCCCTCCAGTAACAGCCCTCCTTTTTATTCTGTGTGTTCTGAGGGGGAAGGGCGGTAACCAGGTGATTCCAGGAGTGGCCATGACTGCCATGACAGAATGCCACAGACTGGCTAGCTTAACCATTCCGGAATTTTCTCAGTTCTGGAGACCAGCAGTCTAAGATCAGGGTGCAGCCATTGTGGGTTTCTGGTGAGGATTCTTCTGGACCTTCTTCCTGCCTCCTCTCCACTGTCCTCACAGGGCCAGTGGAAAAAGAGCTCTTGTTTATCTTTGTCGTCTTTCACAGACACCAGTCCTAGAAGATCTCATCTAACTTTAATTACTCCTGAGAAACCCTGTCTCCAGATATCAACACATAGGGGTTTGGGACTTCAGGGTATGGATTTCATGAGAACAAAGTTGAGCCCATAACATTCATAGTGGCTCTGTGGCCAGGTAGGCGGGTAAGGAAGGGAAGCCAACCCCAGTAGGAGAAGCAGGTCCCTGTAGCTGCCGTGGTCTTTTCACGGGAACCTGTCTCCGTTAATGTTTGAATGTGACTCTTATTTCAGCCTTGGAAGCGTTTGTCTCTGCCGCCAAGATGCTTCCACGAGAAGACATGTATGACGTGGTGGAAGGGTACATCAAGATTTCTGTTGAGTGTGCAGAGATTTTCCAGCTCCTGAGCGGGGAGAAGCGACCTGAAAGTGAAGTATGTTATCCCTTACCTGGCCTGCTTAAGAGAAGCCGCAGTTAATGCTACTGTTGCTCTAAGCTTGGTGAAGAGAAATGGGATTATAAATTTCCCAAGCGTCACCAGCTTCCTACAGAAAACCGTGCTTTGTGCCTGAGCTGTAGATGTGCTTTCATATTTGCATCGCGACCTTTTAAGGCATTTTCACAAAGCACTAAGTAAAGAGCGTCTTTCCAGAAGGAAGGTCATCGATTCTTAACTTAAATGGCTTTGACATAACTTGTTTTAACAAACATGGTAAAAACTGTGTGTTCCAGGTACCAGCACAAGTTGAGTGTTGACTGGTTCCAAATTTGGAATGTTTATGAGCCTGTTGAGATCGTAGGCTTACTGCTGTGAGTACTGCTACAGCAGTAAAGTTCAAGCACAAAGAGAACTTTCTCATGTAACTATAAGCAGCCTGTTCTCTCTTGAGCTAGACTGTGCGACAAGACTGTCCAGAGCCTGGGAGCTGGCAGTTCAGCCTGGTAGCTGACACCTTCCTGTCTGCTCAGGCTTTGTTGGACCCTATGCTGCCAGTGGAAGGTTTTAAACTTTCCGGTGGCTGTGGCTAAGACAAGGAGCATATATGTAGAAGAGGAAAAGAAATGAGTCCATTTATAAGCATTTCATTTTTGTTTTCGCAGAGATTATTAATATTTCAAGTTTTCGAGGCCATATTATTGCGGACAGCGAGCGATCTTTCCCATTTTCATGTTGTGGGGACCAACATTGTGAAAAAGCTAATGAATAACCACATGAAACTCATCTGTGAGTCCCTGTATGCCGCTGGCTACAGGTAAGTTACCCGCTTTTACATGGCAGGACTGGCCCTGGGCTTGCCCTGTGTGCCACCCTCCACCCGAATTTATCTTTCCTTCTCATGAGGAAAGCTAAGCATTTTTTGGAGGCTGTGACTGTGGCTCTGTCCCCCCCTTCCTGTCTTGACTGGCCCCTCACTTTTGCTGGCTCCTAGCAAGTATCCCTCTCACTCCTGCCCAGTGGGGCCCTTGCTGACTTGGGAACATTCCATGCTCTTCACGTTGCGTGTCCTACCCCATGGCTCTTCTCCCAGGTCATCAGGGCTCTCTCCCCACTGCCTTAGGACTTTGCAGAAGTGGTCTTTTATTTAGCTTGTATAGGAAATTATCTATTTTTGTGTGTATTTTTAAAGCTGTGCCTTTGACATGGGTGTTCTGTGTCTTAGACTGTCTCCCTGTACAGGAGTGTGAGGGGCAGGGGTCTTGACTGTCTTATGAAAAGCCTTCTTCCCAGCACCACAGTCCTTCCCAGCACCAACTACTAGTTGGTGCTCAGTAGACCAGGTTCTGAGTAGCTGCAGAATGGAAGGGCAGCCGTGAGCTCGCTTTTGGGGAATCCCACCAGGAAGACATCCCCTCTGGTACCCTGAGGAGGCAGGGATGAAATGTGGCTCTCCACATTCCATGATGAGTTAATGCAAGGAGACATTTCCATCTTCTTTGTACCTTGCATTTCGTCTTCTTGGATCCTCCTCAGACTTAATATGTTTTAATCAATGTCTCCGCCTCCCTCCTTTTTCTGGCTGGGGGATAGCAGATTGCAGCCATGTGTGCAGTTGGCTCTGTACCTCTGCTGTTCCCAGCAGCCTGATCTCCTCCTCCCGTGCAGGATGGCTCGAGCCTGCCTGAATCTGATGACTGCCATGGTGACCCAGGGTGCTGAGGCTGCCAGAGACGTCTCCAGCCATTTTGATTTGAATAAAAAGACCTTGTACACTCTGGCAACCAAGAGGGACCCAAAGGTGAGTAGCCCCGGGTGTCTTGCACTTATGTGTGTGTTTCCCTCCCCTTGGAGGGCCAAGAGGGTTGGTTTGGTTTCCTCCTTTCTCCAGCCTGATCATGTTGATGGAGTAGAAGGCCTTGATGTAGAGAAATGTGTCTTAGCAGCCATTGGTGCCTGTGAGGAAGGCCTCTCCCTGACAGACAATGGGGGCCCCATTGCTTGGCTGATCCTAATAACCCTGACATCTGAGGAGAAATGCTGTGGGGGCTCAGCCTCATAGGGCATTCCTGTGAGGAGATTTAGTCTCCACGTGCCTCTTGGCATGGACTTTTTGGAGAGTTCTGGCCCTCAGGTTCATAGTCTGTCTACTTTGGAGAAAACACTGGTGAGTCTAAGCCAGTGACATCATCAAAAAGGCTTCTATGGCTTTTTAATATGTGACTGTGCCTCCCAGCTATAACTGTGAGTAAGGGCTGGAATGTGCCAAAGAGAATGGGCATCTGAACGGTTGGTTGGTTAAAAAAACAATTCTGTGGGAGTTGCACTTGGATTTAGAAAGATTCTTGAAGAGAAAGCACAGCTTGAGGACTGTGAGGGCACCCTACGGCACGTGCCAGCTACAGGTTATTTTAGAACCTCTTCCTTTGCTGGGCCAGCTCTCCCTGATGCACCTCCAATGCTATAAATAGCCTCTGCCCAGTTCTCCACATCCCCTTCCTAAGCATAGAGAACAGGCCGGCAGAGATCAGCACCTTAGAATAATTGACTTCTGGACCCATGTGGCCATGTTCTCAAACTTCCATGGGGATTAAGAGTTTTTACATGGTCAGGTAATAAATAGATTGATGTTTCAGTCATGGTAGGACCAGCTAACTTTATAGCTTGGTGAGGCTAGCCCAGTGTTGAGGGTTTTCCTAGACTTACAAATAAGGTTCTCTAAGGAAAAAATTCCAGGCCTTAGTGTCTCATAGGCACCATGCTATACTTATGTGTCAGCAGTTTCCATTCAGTAAGTGGTGGCTCCTGATGTTTAAGTGCATTTCTAAACAGAAGCAAGTGCTGTTTGTACACTAGTGCAGATGTCCTGGCATCAGCCTGTAGGTGATGATTGGCTTCCCTTTCCTTCCCACCTGGACCTCAGCCTGGCCATCGAGTAAAATAGGTGGTAAGCAGACTCCCAGCAAGCATACAACAAGGGAGCCCGCTGGGGCGTACCTGTGTAGGCCCCGGCTGCCTGTGCTGCCGGATCATCTACGCCAGTCATTGGGCTTCTGGATCTGGCTGGGGGAGCTGTTGTCAAGGTGACTTTTCCTTTCTCTTGTGTAAATCTTTCACATCAGGTATCTCATGTGCTTTGCATGTTCTACAAAATGGCTTCTAGACATTAGGAACATGTTTTTAAATATAGGAAAAGTCAGGAACATTGGAAAACACGGCAGCACCGTGTTCCCCAAGCCCTGTCACCTCACTTCAGCCTCTGCCACCATCTGCCTGTTCAGTCCGATTGGGCAGGGTGTTCCCACCCATCTGGTGTAAATCCTCTGTGACCATATGTATTTCAGCATGTACTTCTGATGGGGAGTAGCTTAAAAACGACAAAACTATGGCACTGTCGTTGCACTTTACGCCATTAGTCATTCTCACTGTCGCCTCAGTTTTCCTGGCTGACTCAAAAATGCCTTTACACTTTGTGGTCCAAGTCAGGATCCAAACAGGGGTCACATTTTGTTTCGTTGATACGTTTCTTAAAAATCTCTTCTAATCGTGGTGTTTTCTGTGCTCCTCCCCCTCCCCGACCTCCTTTTTTCTTGCCTTTTACTTGAAAAGGCTGGTAGGTATTCTGCTCTGTTAGTGTGTTTTAATATGTGGAGGGCACTGTTAGCACGAAGAGAGAATTATGGGTATGTTCATCCAGCCAAAGGAAGCACCGTTAAAAACCTGTGCAAAGAGCAGTCTTACCAAATATGTTTTGGTCTATTTTAGGCCATGTTTTGCAGAACAAGCCATAGAGAGTCCAGGACACTTCCTTCTGGAATAATAGCCCTGTGAAGTCACAGGGTAGGAATGAGGAGTAGGCGTGTGACCTTGCCTTTGATGGCGTGGACTGGGGTTGCAGGGCGGCGGTCCAGGGCCAGCGCAGGGCTCTCTGTGGGCAGGTGGACAGGCGGGAGCCTCCTTGTGGGGGTTTGGGGGGGAGTGGAAATCTCAGGGATCTTGTTCTTTTCCAGTATCAGGAATCTGGAACATGCAGGGTGGGTGTCGGAGGTAAGCTAAGTTTTGTTTTACTTCAAAATTCATTGTTGACGTGACTCTTGAAAGGCTGTAATACCAACTCTGCTTGTATAAGCAGGACAGAAATATCTAGAACGGCAGATAACTGGACCAGCATTCCAGGGCCCGAATTCCCAGTACAACTTACTCAGTGGATGCCCCTCCACCCCCCACTCCCATGTTATGGAACCTTTCCAGTTAACTGGGGAAGGGTAAAGCCTAATTTAACTTATGAGATAAGTTTTACCATTTTCTAGCATTCTTTGGAAACACAGGCCTATGTAAACCAGGATAACAAATTTCTTGTGCTTCAGGCATCAAGTTGCTTGGGAGCAGTGGTTGCTCTATGCTTCCTGAGGATAGGGACAGTCTCTTAGTCGTTTTGTGTCCTGTCTCGGCCTGGAATGTAATCAGTATGCTATTAACACTGAATTGGGGAATGAGGCAAGTGGGATTCTAAGGAAATGCAGCTTATTTTCGAGACTTTAGTGACCATTGAATCCAAACATGTATCCATGTTGTGAAGCTGCCCACAGGTTAGTCCTCAGAATGGAGAAGGGGGATTTGGGGGTCTCACCTCAGTGTGTTGGCCTAAACCAACACTGATCTAGTAAGGTCATGCTGACCAGAAATAATCACTAAGCTGTGAGCTGAATACGTGGACACAAGAACTGTGCGAGGCCACATCCAGCTGTTATGAGCCCAGGTGGGGTGTCCCTTCTTTTTTCGGAAAAAACATGTACCCAACTGAATGAGACAGGAGTAATTAAATACTCACATAGAGGCCTAAAGGGTACCAAGTGAGTTCCTTACCCCTGAGAAGAAAGCTCTGTCGTGCTTTCGAGCGCGAAGCTGGTTGGGTCCAGTTGCTTCTTACCAACCCAGTTCTACTCGGGTTACTCGGGTAACCCACCTTGAGCAAGTTTGTTAAGGCCCCGGTGTCCTCGTCTGTAGCACAGGGTGGTAGGCACCCTCTGCCTGGGTTATCAGGAGGGGTGGAGGAGATCAGAGTTGTGCAGCATTGCGTGGCATGTCGACATGACGATGTCAGTAAGCATCTTCGTAGTGGTGACATCGCCAGGGTCACCACCACTTCTAGGGCCACTAAGTGGAATGGAACTCTCTGGCAGGCAGAGCCTCCTGAATCTTTTCAGGCCTTCAGGGCAGTAGTTCTCCACGATACAAACTTTTTGGCACCAACTGAAAGTACCTTTAGCATAATGGAAGTGGGGAAAGGATTTCATTTTAAATCGTGAGAGATCTACGCACACTTGCTAGTTCTGGTCCAGCCGAGACTGACATGACCACATACAACAGGGGTGATGTGATGTGGGGGCTCTTAGAGTTACGGGGAAGCAGAACTGATCAGGTGGCCCTGGAGAATTCCCCTGAAGTGCTGGCTGCTGGCGATGGCTTGGACCCCCTCTGAGGGTGCCCTCTGTCCCTGGGTCCCAGTCGACACCGGTGGGACTGCAGCTTGCAGTGCTGGGTAGGCCACCCTGGGTTTGCAGTGTGACAGTGCCTGTGCTTCGGTCTCTGGGATGAATTATAATTTCTAATAAAGACCAGACATCACCTCATTTGGTGTCTCATCCAGAGCAGCACCGGTCTTTCTGTCCTCGCTGGATTTCCAGAACGCTGGCTAGCAAGCGAGAGTAGATGGTCTCGAGACGGGCTGAGGCCCTTCTCTGTGTAGGGCGGCCTGTACGCTCAGGCTGTGTTTACAGTTGGGGAGGCACACAACTAAGCTTCACCCTTGCTTTTGTCTTTAGTGTAGAGCTTGAAAGAAGAAAAAGTAGGATAGACGATTGAGGGGGAAGAGCAAAGGAAAAGCCCTTTGCTTTCGGTGGGAAGTCACCAGTGTTACGGACTGGAGCCCTCTGATCACCGGCGGGACGGGGGGTGGGCTGCTTCTTTGTTCTTCTTGGGGTGCATGTGTGCACTGTGGGTGTCGCCACATTTGTGTGTGTGTGTGTCTGCATGTGACACGTGTCTCCTTTGTGTCTCCAGGGAGTGCAGGACGTCCGTCAGGCCTACATTCAGTTTGCCCTTTCCTTTCTGGTTGCCGGTGATGACAGCACCATTGTGCAGGTCCTGGAGTTGAAAGGTAGGTGTGCCGCGATGGTGCATGGAAGCCCGCTTGTGATTGTTTCTGAAAATTCTGCAGCCTGTGGCCTTCGCAGTGTCAGTGGGCGCTGGAGTAAAGGCTGTGCGGTAGCGATGCTGTGGCCAGAGTGGTTTGTGTCGCTGGTAACTGGAACAATGGGGTCCCCACTCGGGCTCTGGAATGTGGAGCCACATCCTAACAAAGACTCAGGACCCGCCCCAGGGTCTCACAAACAAAGGAGGCCTTGTGGCTCCTGACGTATTAGATTTGTCGCCTTGGCCACCTGGCCTTCCTTAGTAACTGTTAAAAAATAAACTAGTTGCTTTAGTGACCTTGCCTACGTTTTCCAGAACAGCAGGAATAGAGCTTCGAAAAATTCCAGCCTGACCCCCTTCTGGGACTGTCCCCCTAGAGCAAGGCCAGGCATTGTTCAGTCTAGTAGGATCACTTGCCTTTTATCCAGAGGTTTGTCAAGACACTAACTGACAGGGTCTCCACCAGCATAGCACCCGGCAGCTTCATAAGACACCCCAGATTGTGCTGTGCTTGGAGCTGGCCGAGCCCTGGGGCTCCTTGGCAAGGGGCAGCCTGTGCTGTGCCTGGGCTGAGGGCCTGAGCTCCCTCCAGAATGTGCCTGCTGGATGTAGAGGGCAGGCCCCTCAGTAGTGTAGGCCTGGACTATGTGGGGTCCCCTTGCCCCAGGGATAGCAGCACCGTGAAGGGGATGCTTGCCTTCTGCGGGCAGCGAGTGAGCTTTCCTGCTTATTGCCAGGTCCCATGGGGGTGTCCTGCTGCTACCAGTTTCTTCAGAATTCCCCTGAGCCATCGTGGGCCCAAATTACAGGACAGTGACTGGGAGTTCTTCACTCCTACACTGCCAGTGGGGCAGGACGAGCTTCAGTAGCTGAAAATTAGACCCTTCCCTGTAACTCTAAGCTTCAGTAACTTCTAGTAGCTGAAAATTAGACCCTTCCTAACAACCCACCAGTAGGGAATTTGTGAGCAAATTGAGAACTAATCACAGAGTGGAAGGCAGCTATAAAAAAGTGATGTGGAAACACTGACATTACGGTTTTCAATGATGAATGAGTGGGTGTAAATCTAGTTACCAGTTAAAGTGTGATCCCACTTTACTAAAAATTAAATATGATAGAGCATGAGTACATTGGAAGGTGAATAGTTAAATGGTAAGCCAGAGGTTAACCGTTAATTTCTGGGGAGTGGATTATGGTTATCTTAAATATTATTTCTAAGTTTGTTATTTTCTGGTTTTTTTTGTTTGTTTTAAGAATAGTGAATTTGCTTTTGTAGAAATTCCATGTGCCATTAACTCTGCATAGAGTAAGTGACCGTGTAACTGCTCAGAGCTTCTGCCCAGTGTTGCCAGCGTGCTGGTGCCGGTGCAGCCACAGGCTGGGGTCGCTGCTTCCCTGGGGAGCCAAACATGTGAAGGAGAAAACAAAACACAAGCATCACTCCAAGTTCACCCCCGATCCATAAAATGTTGACTGTCATTTAAACTTTAGCCAAGTCTGAGAGAAGAGAGAAAACTAATCATACCACACGTTCTTCCTCAAAGTCAATATTGAATTAATTGTATTTGGTTTAGTGTGAGAAAGGGAGAGCAAGACAGCTAAGAAACTCTTAAACTCCTTTCAAAGCTCTGTCATCGTTTTACTTTTAGATTGTTGATGTCCATGCCAGGGAAGTGGCTAATCTTGTTGTGAACTTGTATATCACTTCCAGCTTAAAAAGTTAAAGAAAGTAGATGGCATTGTTTGCTGTTCCATTTAAGCAGTGATGGTTTCTCAGTCTGTTTTCCTATTCAAGATGTTTTTGAGTTTAATGTTTTGAAACTTTTCCTTCCAGAATTTATTCCTTGCATTTTCAGTTCGGGCGTAAAGGAAGATAGGATCTCCACCGTCAGCATGTTGCTGTCCACGCTGAAAGCCAAGGTATGTGTTTGGTGGTCAGAGTCTCTAATGTTGTTGCTCCAGTTCTTCACAGGACTCTGGAGCTGTGACAGGGTCAGTGGTGTGGTGGTTCTGGGGGTGGAGTAGCAACTATTTCACAAGCAGAAGAAACATGGTGGGGCTGGTGAGTTGCTGGCCTAGAAGTTACAGAGAACGGTGGAGCCGCTGCTCAGCTCAGGTGTTTTACCTGACAGGGAAGAATTGTTGGTCTGTTGCACAGGAGTTATTGGACAGTTCATTCACCCACCCAGCAAGTGTTGCCTGATGTTGCATATTTTGCCTTCTGCAAGCCTCTTAGAGAAATTTAAAACTTGCTGATAGGATCACTGTCTTTAATATACAAACACCTTAAATGAACAATTGGAAAACTCTGTGACCTTCCCAATGTGAAAGTTGTCAGAAGACCACAAACTGGTGATCCACGAAGTTGGCTGATCGGCATCCTTGTCCAAGGTTTTCACTGCATCCCTGACTGTGTACTTGGCTTTGTGGGCCATGCTAAGTAGCCATGCTTACATGTCTTTGTGGGCAAGTTCTCACTTTCAGCAGTGGCTCAGCTGGTGGTGACGGGGCCCACCTTGGGACATCAGGCGGTGTCTGCAGATGTGCTCAGTTGTCATGCCAGGAGGCTCAGGGGCCCTGTGGGCAGGGCACAGAGAGCCCGCCACAGCTGTCAGTAGTGCTGAGGCAGAGAAATCCTGAGTCAAAGGAATGTAAACAATGAGGTACAGGGTTTCTTCACCTACCAAATGAGAATTTCCTGTTTAAAATAATGGTTTCCACACCAGCTCTAGAGTCGGGTACTTTCCCGGGCATGTCAGCCACTCTGGAAGAGGCAGGTCTGGTAGGATGTGTCCAGGGTCTTAAACATGTTGGTTGACCTAGAGGTGGGGGTGGGTTACCTCAGAAGAGTTGAAGTACAGATACCCAGACCACCTCCCCAGAAATTCTGGGGGGGAGCTGAGAACTCCCCCCAAGTCCATAGTCAGAGATGCAGTGGAGAATGTACAGGAATGCTGATCAGCCAGCTTCAGGCAACACCCTGCTTGTACACACCCAGGAAATGGTGAAGTGTATTTTGGTCACTCAGGGTAGAATGATACCAATCCTCCAAAGTGATGCTGTAAAGGAATTTCATTGATGCGGGGAAAGTGCCTGCTACATAAAAAAAGCAAGTGCTAAACTGCTTATTATATAAATATAACCTCAGAGACACACACACAGATGACCAGTTTTGCCCATGTACCTGGGGGTGGGAGGGTTGAAAGAAACGATACCAAAATGCTAACTGGGTCGCCTGTGCTGGCAGGAATGTTGGTGAATTTCATTTTTCTCTCTGTTTTCCCAACCTTTCTGCCATGAGCCTGCATTCTTTCTATCTTGACAAAAAAGGAAAACCATTATGTTAAAAATAATAATTGAATTTCTTGAACTTCATTTGTTTTCCTGTTTTCAGGTAGTTCACAATAAACATGTCACAAAAACCCAGAAAGTGCGATTCTTTACTGGGCAGCTGTTGAACCACATAGCCTCTCTCTACAAGTGGAATGGGATCAGTGATGTGAGCCTGGAAGATGTCAAGGTAGGTCACATCTGGGCTCAGGTGACCCCACTGTGGGTATGAGCCTCCCAGCTGGGAGCCAAGAAGTCTGAGCAGAGACCTGCTTAAAAAATTACCTCTGTCTGGTCTACTTCTTTGGCTTGTGGGTATAGTAATTCTACACTTAGATATCATACAGTTTATTTATTTATTTTTTTTGCTTTTTTTTTTTTTTTTTTTTTAAGATTTATTTATACAAGCACTGGGTATAGTCAGAAGCGCGGGAGGGTGAGAGGATGCACCAGAGCCAGAGCGGGGAACAGAACAGGCAGACTGATGAAATCCACTGCTGAAGGGAGCAGCGGGCAACAGGAGAGGTCTGCGCGCCACGTGGGACTCTCGCCAGCGGCTGGGGATTGAACCGGCTGCAGAGGCTGCGGGCAGCTTCACAGCCCAGCACTCAACTGCTGCGCCACGGGGGAGGCCCCATACAATTTTTTTTAGATTAGATTTTTTTCTCTAATCTCTGAGGTATCACGAATTTAACCTTTTGTGTTTCTAATATGAAAACTACTTTCCATTTAGCTCAGGGTCAGCTTTGTTCCCTGCAGGTGCTTGCTTTGCAGATTACCAGGCTCTCCTCCTCCTCTCTACTCACCTCTTCTTTCTTCCATCCTTTCGTATTCAGCCTTTACAACTTCAAGGCTGCTTGTTTTTGCTTCAGGACCCTGAGTGTGGGACCCATGATACCCCCCTTCTGACGTGTGTCCTAGCCCTGGCCTGAGCCCTGGCCCTCATGGACCCGAGGCCATTCTGCTCCTCCTTTTCAGTTTCCTCCGGGTGTTTCAGAATGTGCATGTGGCCAGAGTTGTGAGGGCTCGGACTTCCTGTGAACCCTAGTAATTCTCCTCAGGATCCTGCTGTTTTACTGCCTTTTATCTTCCAGACTTGCCTGTGTCCTCCTGTTTTGAACATGTCTCCTCTTCTCTATTACCTGGAAGCCTCAGGGCTTAATAAAAACACTCCCAAATATGGAATTTCATTCAAAAGAGCAAGAGAAATTAAGTCGTTCTTAAACTTGTTTTAAAATACAGGTTTAAACTTGTCCCTCTTAACATTATTTTACTTTCAATCTTGATTGGTGTGTTCTGTTTGTTTGTTTGTTTTTCCCAAATGATGCCAACTGTTTAAAATGTTTTCTAAATTGTCATTAGCCTCTTGATGTCCAGTTTTTTCTCCATAGCTGTTCCTAAGTTTTATGAGCTTGGAATTTTGATTGAATTGTTTAAAACCCTCCTAGGCTTCTGCTGAAGATGCAGGGAAGACCATGGTGAGGGAACTTGTACACACCTTCCTGATGGACCTGTGCTGTTCGCTCAAGCATGGGATTAATTTTTATGACGCATCTTTGGGCACCTTTGGCAGGTAAAGTGTAACAACTGATCCCGAGTGTGTGTTCCTCTGAAGTCATTGCCTGTGACGGGCCAGAGGCAGTTTGTGAGGTTTTGGAATTGTAGTGGGTTAGAACTTGAATTTTAGACACGATCTGACTCTTCAGGGTGAGCAGTTAAAGACCCAGAGAGCTTCTGCTGCTCCTGTGCGGGTCTCAGGGCAGCAATGGACTTAAACACTTGGAGAGAGGAGACACCTTGCCCGGGATGGGCTGCGTGTGTTCACTCAGGAAGGCTTCCGCTACCTCTGAAAGTAAGGCCTCCACCTTCCTGGGGAGAGTGGACCCAACATGGGCCTTGCAACAGCTCTGGGGTGGGTGCCATTGTTAACCCAGCTTTACACACGAGGGGAATTGGCACAGAAAGGTCAGGTCACTCATTGTTAAGCAGCAGGGTGGGATTTGAACACAGAAACTGGTTCCCAGCTTTTACGCTTAATAACTGAGCCACCCTCCCATTGCTTAAAGGTGGTCTGCTGACAAGCTCGGATTTCAAAATTTTGTTTTACATTTCACAATTAGGATAACATTTTATCAGCAAGGAAACAAAGGCCACAGTTAATGGTTTAGAGTGTATTCTTTCAGACTGTCTCTTTGTAGTTGTGTAGCCTTATTGCATATCCATGTTACCATTTTTTAATAGCAAAATGGCCTCTTTAGATGTTTATCATCCCGTTTTTCCCCACTTGACAGTAAAAAAAAAAAAATGGGTTTCTTCTCTGGTCATTGTAAATAACCTTGGTGTTTTTTGCCCTTTTGGCATTTTATTACAATGATATAGTAGTGATTTGATTTAGTTTGAACCACCTAAAAAATCGCTGATTCTTTTAGAATGGGACAGCACCATAGGAATTTTTCTCTCAGCCTGTGACTTTGAACTTTTGATTCTGAGACAATTATGAATTAACTTGCCACATTATTCCTTTTTCCTAAATTTAACATTGTTTTGGTAATAGGGTAGCTTTCCTTTCATCAGTAATAGGAATAAGCTAATTTTCTGCTAAAATGTCACAGCAGACTTTGCTATAACTCCTTGTTTAAAACACACACATTCTTCTCCCTTAAGTAGAGCCATAAAATAGACGATCATTCAATGAACATATTGAATTAACTTGGGGGTGTGGTCTGTTTAAATAAGCTGTGGCTTATGTAAATTTTTGAAGCCATTAACGTAAAAAGACAAATGTTTGTACTTAGGATGGAGGAAGGGAGTTTGTTCCCGAGGGAGTTGTTGAAAGACTTTGAGGAACTGAGCTGTAGGCTGCCACTAGTTGTACACCTCCCGCCTTCTGCTCAGGCAGCTCTCTGCGATGTCACTGCCTCAGGGACTCTTCCCTGGACGCCCTTTTCTGTAAAGCCCCTGCACTGTCATGTCCTGTGCCTGGCTTTTGCTTTCCACAGTGAGTTAACAATACTTTGTATATTTATTTGTTCACTTGTTCATTACCTCGTTGTCTAGAAACCATGAGAACAAAGGCTGATCTGCTTAGGATTTTCAATGCCTAGACAGTGCCTGGCACATAATGAGCTTTGGGAAGCGAGGGCAGGCAAACTTTCCCTATTAAGGGCCAGACAGTAAATACTGTAGGCATGGCAGGACATGCACTCTTTGTGACCCATGGCAGCAGTGCAGCCTTGACATGAACAGTGGGTGTCACCCTGTTCCAGTAAAACTTTATTTACTGAGACAACACGGTGGGAGTGGTTTACCAGCTTCTGGGGTGGAAGTTAAAAGATTCTGGGGTCAGACAGCTCTGAGACCTTAAGCAAATTGCTTCTGTCCCCTTCTGCTACCTCATTCGACCTGTGGAGATGACATTAGTGCCTGCCTCGGAGAGAGTAGAGTGTGGAAACAGCCAGAGCTGTGGGTGCCAAGTAGCAACCACTGTGTCAGTGGCAGTGCTGTTCAATTTATTATTTGTTGTTGATTACTATCTGTGTGTACACGTGTGTACGTGTGGCATTTTTTTGCATTCCTTGTAGATTTAAAGCCCTGTTGACATCACGCACTGTATTTGTCTTGCTCATGAAGTTTCCACATTAAGAATGCTCTTTTTAACTCGCTCCTTGAAAACTGTGTTAATGTATGAGGCTATCGTGGAACATTTTTGTTTCCACCTGTTTGTAGGCGATAGAAAGCTGTAAGGGTCCTGGAGGCCATGGGCATGGCATGAGAAGAGGCACTTTCTCAGGTTTCTCTGGACTTGGTGCTTCATGCAGATAGGAGGTGGCATCTGTTCTGGGAAGGGGTCGAGGTGGGCTGGGTCACAGGTCCCGGGTTGCTTGCTCCCTTTCTCAGGTTGTAATGTCTGCTGGTTTTCCTGCTTATTTCACCATCATCTTTTGAAAACTGCCCACATTGGGACAAGTTCAGGATATTATCACACGCTAGTTTGTTTGTTGTTTTTTCTGCCTTATTAGCTCCTTTCAGCTGCTGGGTGAAGGATAGGAATTTGAGGTAAGGCGAAAGTAGAGGCAGCGGGAGACCTATGCAGAGGCCTTGTGCTTTGGCTGAGCCTTCAGGAGTGAGGTCATGGCACGGCGCTTGGCACAGGTTGCTCTTTATGGAGAAGAAAAGCTTTCATCTTTTCAGAAGAAAATTTGTCCTCTGTGTTTTTAGGGCACATATAATTTGCTTGCTTTTCATGTGTGGTTGGAGGAAAGAGATCACTAAAATCTCGGAGGAAATTTTGAGTGGATTCTTTCCTCTTGGCTTTGCCTTTTCTTTACATGCGCTTGGCCTTCTCCACAGACGAGTAGGTGGTCAGGCTGGATAGAATGTTTCCTTCCTCTTCTTTAAGTCACATGAACATGAGGGAGAGAAGGGATGGGAGCAGGACAGAGTCTTCCCCGCCACAGGAAAGTATAAGCGTGAAACCCAAGCCCTCTGGTGGGGATGGAAGTGTCCTGCTTTATGCTGTGCGGGAAATAGACCAAAACCAGAATGTGGGCTTGTGTCACAACTGTTTCCACCGCTTTGGGCCATGAGCTTTGGGCCAGTGGTGAAAACTCGCTGCTGACTCCTCTCTGCTCTCCACAGAGGAGGAAATCTGACCCTCCTGCACTTCCTGTTGGGCTTGAAAACGGCAGCAGATGATGAGCTGGTGGCCGAACTCGTGGTGAACATTCTTAAAGTGTGTCCCGACCTCCTGAACAAATACTTCAAGGAGGTTTCGTTTTCCTTTCTCCCGAGAGTGAAGTCCGCTTGGACGAATAACATCAAACTGTTAAACAAGGTGAACACCTGGGTATTGGGAAGTACTGGTGGGGGGTGGAGGGAGCTGGACAGCAGTGGCAGGTGGGGGAAGTGACATCTCCATAAACCACGCAGTATGGGGCCCCTCTCAGCCTCTTTCAGGGGCTGCTTCAGATCTCAATGTGCCCTTATCCTCTAGAGACACTGCTTTTCACTGTGTTGAATGCTGAGGTCTGGGCCTTTTGAACCCGTTGAGCCAATTTATCTGCTTCATTCAGACCTTTTATAGAGATGTGAGTTTCAGCGTGGTTAGGTCAGAAGTAATGAAATGTCTGAATTTTAGGATCATTTTGGTGTTAGGATCACTTTGCTGTTGCAGGTGCTTAGAACACTTGAAATGTGTTTTACGTAAACAACATATTAGTTTTCTTCTGACCATTGATGCCAACATCCCCTCACTCACCAGTAGAGTAGTTACTCTAGCCCGTTGGCAGCACTGCCTGCTGGCTGTGTCAGTCTCACCCCTGCTAGAGCTAAAACACCTGGGAGTGTTTCTTCTGCCTCAGCCTGGGCTCGGCTTGTCTGTAAGGCAAGCTTTGTTTGCATCGTCACTTTGTCTCCCTTGTGTGCCTGTGTGTGCAGTCCCTGCATGTCTTGGATCTTGGGACCCGAAGGATGCTCTTTGCACCTCGTTTTGGGAAGATAGCTTCTGGCCTACGCCCATTGTGGGAGGTGCTCTGGGCTGCTCTCCCCAAGGGAGCGGGGAGGAGGGACAGGCAGGCCTGGTGCATGTCCTCACCTCGCTGCTCACTAGCTGCATGTTCCTGGGGAGATTGCTAACCTCATTGAGGTTCAGTTAGGTCATGCTTATTGTAATGTAGATTATGGTACACTAAAGGGCTGTCCTGAAGGCTGGGATTTGAAGGTCACTGTCCTGGTGACCAGCCAGTCTCGAGACCTGACTTGTCTTTTATAAGTGGGTCTGGAGGTTAGTCTTCTGGACCCTTTGTCACTATAATTGTTTCATTGCAGCGGCTTCATGGTGGGTGCCTGCAGTTAGCCTTAGCTTTGAAATGGCCCCAGGTCATTCTTCTCCCTTCTTTCCACAGATCTACGAAGCCCAGCCAGACATCTCCCGGGCGTTTCAGACCAGAGAGTTCATCCCTCTACCTCGGCTCCTGGCGATGGTGATGGTGACCACTGTGCCCCTGGTGTGCAACAAGATGATGTTCACCCAGGCATTAAATGTAAGTGGTTATTCTGCTTCTAGAACTTTCTCTCATGCTGCTGATGACCTTGGGGATTGTTCTGACAGTACTGGCCTGGATGCATTGGTCCCTGTTTTGTCAGTGAGCCTCTGGTGCTTTGCATGAGCAGGGCGGGGGCCTTGGTGCCTGCAGCACTGACCTAACATAGCCCTCCCTGCTCCAGCCATACCGCCGCGCCTCTGTGGTGCTCGATACCTGCCTCTGCAGGAGAACTCAGAACAGGAAAGAGAAGAGTATTCAGTGCAGCCTGTGTTGTGTTACACTCTCATTCGTGTGGATTTCTGGTGGGGGGACTAAAATTGGTGTAGCAAATCCTTTCTTTCGTGGTTTAAGTTAAGTAGTGTTAAATTTTTCTGGGGAGCATTTATTTTGAGGACCAGCTGTTTTCAGGCATTTTTTTGGAGGACATGTTCATGGGACAACATAGATTCTTAAGTTTCACATCACTGTTTAGTATAAGGTCCCACATCCGTCAGAGCCTGATTCTAAGGAACTCTGCATCTTTCACCCCCGCATCCTGGCTTTATGTGGACAGCTGTACAGCTGTGGGTCTGGGGTCCTGCCAGCCTCTCCTAAACCCAGGTTGCTCAAGACCTTGCTGGGGGAGGCCAGGTTTTCAGAGGGCATGCACGGCCCCTGGGTTTCCAGGGGAAGGCCCACTGTTCCAGGTGGCTGGGTGGTTAGGGCACCAGCAGGACTAGGGTGGGTGGTGGCAGGTAACACAGGCCTGAGTCGGCCCCATGATAGTGGGCACTTACTGTCAGGTGGTGCAGACTCCTTAGATCGTGCCCTGGCACTGAACATCCTTTTGATTTGAGATCTTTGAGTGGCCAGTGAGGTTTGTGCTGAGTGAGTGGTGGGGTGAGGAGTAGAAAAAAGACCTGTGTGGACTAGGCAGCAAGGGCTTTTATTCTGCTTGCCAAATCATTGAGAGTGATATTGGGACCCAGCTAGCTTACCCATCTGATTTGTGGGAGATACAAAATATTTTATCATAAGGGGTTGCAAGAAAATAGAATTGAAAGGAACATGTGAGCTGCTGGCTTCTGTGTGGGGAGAGGAGAGCGTTCACAGGCTGGCTGCATTTATGAGTCCCTTCCCGCTAGCTGCTGGTGGTCTGGACACAAAAGCTGTCTACTCTCCCTCCTGGGGTGTTGTTTCAGGAGAGAGGGCTGTGCCCCTGGGGGCGTCCATGCCTGGATAGAGCTGGCTGTTGTGGGGTGAGGGAGAGGGTTGGTTTCCCTCCCCCTGCTGAGGCTACAGTGCTGCATCCCGTGTCGCTCAGGGTGGAGCTCTGCTTTCTCTCAGCTTGGAGGTGGCACAGGTTCTTGAGCATTATGGCAAGTGAGGGTCTAGAGCCTTGGCTGCCTTTCTGAACCCACATAGAGTGTCTGGATGTCAGAGGCCTGCGATCGGGCTGCATGCTCACCTACTGAGCTAGCTGCCTCCTGACATCAAGAGCTTTCCCCTGAAGCCCTAGATGACATAAGCACATTTTTTCAGTTTCCCCCATCTTTTTCTGTTTGTCCTCCTACCACACGTAACTGATGCTCTATGATTATGCGATCAATAAAAAGACCAGGATCTTGCTGGACGGGCAGCATCCTGCACTGTGTGGCCGCTCCACAGCTCCCGTCTATCGGTGTGGTGTTGCCCACGTAACACATAGGGTTGGCTTCTGCTGAGATCCTGCTGCTGTGGAGGCAGATAATCCATCTGGGCTGGGCGGTTGTCAGAGGAGCTCACAGGGACAGACAAGGAGCTGCCTGTAGTAACCGCCTGCCCGGCAGTTGCTAAGGTCAGGTATGTGGGAGGTGAGGAGCCCGGCGGTTCCTGCGAGTCCCCTGTGTGGCCTGGGCAGGGGCAGGAGCCACCCAGCCCAGGGCGTGGGAAGTCGGTCCCCCGTGCAGCCTGGTGACATTTGTGGATGCGACTCTTTCTTCCCAGTTGGACAGCAAATCAGTGAAGCACACAGCTCTGTCCCTCCTCTCCGGCATTTTGAAGAGAGCACTAAAAACCATTGAGTACTGCCTAAACAAGGAGGCCTGGCAAGGATCGGGTGTGTACACAGCCACCATGATGGAGGAGTTTGTGCGTCTCTTCAGAGAGGCCCTGAGCAAGGTAGGCACAGAACCAGGCTCACCGTCCCCGGAAAAGTTTCCAGGCATTCCTTACTAGAATCACAGACACAGCAGCAGGGAAGCCACCTGTGGGGCACAGAGGGTGAGTGTGAAGGGCCGTGAAGAGGCTGGTGCTCCTGGAGCGCATGGCTCACCCGGCACTATGCAGCCCCCCCACTGCCACCGCTGCAGGCACACACCGGCCTGAGCCTCAGGGGGTGTGTTTGGGAAGCCCCTCTTCCCTCTTCTCCTCTTGGCTTAGTCTGGTGAGTGAGGAGGGTGGTTTCCTTGTCTGTCAGGTTCCCCGCCGCCATTATGATGTGTGACTTTGTCCTTAATGAACAGCTCCCTTGCTTGCCTAGATGAGTCTTAAGAGATTTATTTGATTTATCAGCATCCCCCCCCCCCAGTCCTCACGTACCTTTCTAGGCATCATCTAGAGCTCACAAAAGGCCTGTTCTCTCCCCCACCATCCTGCCTCTTTCTTACACACTCACACTCATTTTTATGTACACTCATGTGTGCCCGGTCACGTACACGCATGTACACTCTCACGTGCTTGCACCTCCCTGCTACTTTTTGTTTCTCCTTGCTCATTCCTTTATTTCTCTTCATTGTTTAATGTAACTGATTTTTGGTCTTTGCCTTTTCTATTGTAGATTGTACCAGATCTCAACACCGTCGTGTGGGTCTGGCAGTCACTTGTAAAGCAAGAGACAAAACAGGATGATAAGAAAGGGACGAAGATGGGCAAGAGGTCTCCTGCTGCCACTGTGGCTCCCCAGTGCGGTGAGGACTCCCGTGGCCTGCAGTGGAGCAGAGGCCAGCAGAATGGCTACTGTCTAGGGGGGCCTGTGAAGGCCTCCCTGCTGTGAATGAAGCCTGGGTTCCTTTGTTGCTTGGGAGGGAAGAATTTGAATGGAGTTGCAGGTTGAATTTTAACGTCTTCTTAGAGATGTGCTCACAATTTATGCCACCACTGTACCTCAAAAGACTTGAAGAACAGTGACTGCATGTCTCTGGCCTTTCCAGGGTGTGGTTGGGGGGCTCTCTCAGCATGTTAATGTGGGTACAAGGTCCCCCCATAATAAGATGCACTGACTCAGCCCTTGTTAGTGGGCAGGTGATAGGCTCTGTGTCTGCCAGGCCGGGCCCTGCTGTGCCTCCATTGTTCAGCCAAGGACACAGGGACAGGGCAGCTTCATGACACCTGCTGAGTCCGCTGCAGGGAAACGAACCCCGGCTGTTTGCACAGGCCTGACTTTCTTCCCACAGCGCCTCCTTCCATCTGGCTCCCTGCGGGCCTTTCCACAGCGTCCGTGTGCAGTCCATGTGCTGGGGACTGGGAAACAGAGCTGCCAAGCAGCGTACCTGTCACTGTTGAGGACTTCCCTAATGTCTGCTGTTTTATTTTGGTTCAGATGATGCAGAGACCATTCTTCTGAAAGCGGCCCTGCTCCAGGTCATATGCCTTTACCAGAAGGTGGTGCCGCATGTGGTCATGCAGTACAACTTCGACTTCAGCAAGCTGCTGAAAGGTGCGTCTGAGCCAGCGCAGGCACCTTCTACCATGTGTGCCAGGGGCGAGGGAGGAGCTGAGGCGCCAGATTAGAGCCCCCAAAGCTGAGGAGCGAGGACTGGTGGGGAGCTTGGCCAGCGTGCTGCTCCTCCGGCCTGGTTAACTTTATTTGGACTGAGATCTTAAATAGATGGTCTTTCTTAATTAAGTATCAGATGACTGCTTAGCAGTGAAAGAAGGGAGAAACAGCAGTTTGAGTTGCCTGCAGTGACTGATTGACAGTTGAGGTCAGAGAGGCCAACCCTCATCTCATGCCTTTGCACAGGGGCCTGCAGAAAGCACAGCCCTTGGCAGGCGCTCTGCCTCCTGCTCATGGCTCACTCGGCAAGGTAGGCGCACACCACGCTTGGAACAGGCTGTCTAGTGAAACTGACTTTATAATTGGGCTTGCCAAAGAAGCCTTGCGGAAGTGCCCCTCTTTGAGTTTTTTAAGACATTGAAATGGTCCTATATCCAAAGGCTATGATTAGCTTTTTAATTGTTTGAGGGCAAAAAGTTCTCTTTGCCAGGAGCACAAGTAATTTACTAGAATGTGGTCACTTAGTATTTAGTAGCTGTGTCCTTCCCAAGCAAAGGGCCTGGAAATCAGGCCAGAGCACAAGAACCAGTTTCCAGCTTGGGGAGCCACAGTCTACCCCGAGAGTCTTTGTGGTCTGGGAGTGAGGCCATCCAGGACGAGGTGACATTATGTAGGGGCCACACCTGGAGGGCATCCTGGTGGGGGTGGGGCTTCCAGCAGAGGGAAAGACTGCTTCGGTCAGTAGAATCTGGGCTTTTGGTTGAAGGATCTGGCTAGACTTCAGGAGGCGGGGTCATGTCAGGTGAGGCATGTTGGGCAGTCGCCTTAGGTGGGCACAGAGCAGGGGAGATGGACCCCGCTTCCTTCCTTTTTATTTCCAAACAGGAAGTACCTAGCTCCTCCTCTGGCCAGGGGTGGCAGCTGGGTGGGCACCCACCTCCTCACCACTTCTCATCTGTTGTTCCCCTCTCCGCCTGCAGGCATCACCTCCGAGCAGGGCCTTCGAGAGGAGGTGCCCCCCATTCTGCAGCACCACATGCTGCAGGTGGCGCTGGAACTGCCTGCCAGCAAGCTGTTATGGTTAAAGGCCCAGGTAGGAGCGGAGGCTCCCGACTGCTCTCTTTCACTGACCTACTGGGTTTGTTGACCTTCTGACCTGGGACTTTCAAACTGGATCAGGACCCTGGCGAGCCTGGATCCTGAAGGGGGACATCAGTTCTCTGTTTCGAGAGGGTTGTTCAGAGCAGAGCTAGGCCATCTGTGAATCTCTTTGCTTTTGCAAATTAAGGTGCTTAATGTCTCTTTACTGAACTACATTGCTGGGTTTTAGCATTTTGGGGGGGGAGCGGCTTAGCATTTTTAATCTTGACCATTTTATGTTTTCCTTGTCATTTTTTTTTTAATTTTTTTAAGATTTATTTATTTATACAAGAGCTAGGGTACAGGCCAGAGGTGCGGGAGGGTGAGAGGATTCACCAGAGACAGAGTGGGGCACAGAACAGGCAGACAGATTGAAAGCACTGCTGCGGGGAACAGCGGGCAAGACAGAAGAGGTCTGCTGTGCCATGTGGGTGTCTCCCTGGCCGTCTGGGAATCAAACCAGCGCTGCAGAGGCTGCGGACAGCTTCACAGCACTGCGCTCAACCCGCTACGCCACCAGGGAGGGCCTGTCTTTTAAGACTTCTGGGACAGTATAATATCGAGCCATAAAGGGGACTCAAAATGCAACCTGTGTATTTAAATATGGGGTACTGTTATCTCTTCTATCCAAAAAGGGAAAATGACCAAGCAAAATTAGGCATCATGTTTTTAGTTGTCAGGTGGTTTTTCAGATGCCTTGGGTCTTATTTACTATCTTGTGGGAAACCAGTAGCCTGGGAAGTATGTGCTGTTTCCAGGAAGGCCAGAGATGGCAGTGGTGCTGCGCTCTCTGTTTTTTTCCCCCAACCTCGAGAGTTCTTAGTGATGTGTGCCTGCTTGACACCAGGCCTGCTTTACCCGCCAACTCCTCGACGCCCTGGGAGAGGCAAGGCAGCTGGAGCACAGAGGTTAGGACAGTTCTGAGGGCCCAGCTGTCAGAGGAGGATCCACAATTAGACCCGGCAGTGCTGCCATAGTCCCTTTGAGGACACCACCACCCACCCCAGGGAGACGACCAGCTTGGGAACCTTTGGGTCTTCTCCCAGCTGAACAGGGCCAGTGAAACAAAGACCTCTTTCTTTGGAAGAACTGGTGTTAAAATAATTTAAATTCAGTCCCCCATACCACCCCAGTCTGTTAGGCTTCATGAGCGCCAGCACTTCCCGTGTTCAGGATCATCCAGGGGCTGCAGGGGACGCCCCAGAGACATGGTTGGTGGAGTTTGGAATTGGGTTCTGTGTAAGACCTATACCAAAAGCCCACTGGCCTTTGTCAGAGGCTGTCTCTATAAGGTGGTGTTGGGTCAGTACCACATCCGCTGAAATGCAGCACGAACGGCCTTCGGCGAGTCCCCCAGCCCTGGGCTTTGTTTTCCCACCAGCCGGCAGGCAGGGTAGCGACTGCACCCGGTCCCTGGGATTCATTCCCCACTTGTCCATCACGCAGTCTGTTACCTCCTCATGTCTATGTGTGAAAAACTGGGTAATAGTCATCCCTACCACCCAGGATTGGTGGGCAGGTTGATTTTATCTGCCCAGGATAAAAGGCATGAGTGTGAATAAAACCAAGGTGGTGCCAGCATACACAGAGGCCGCTGTGCTTCTGTTACTGTTCCTCTCTCCGCTGCTAGTACTACAGCTGCTGTTGGGGGTTTGGGGTGAGTTGCCTAACTCCTGAGGTTCCTCATGTATAAGATCTCAGCAGTCTTGCCAAGGTGTGGTCAGAACAGGGTAAGGCGAAGGCTGGCGGTATCCTGGGTGTGCTGCACCTTTGTCACAAGCCGCGGCCTCCTGACGTGTGTTGCATTCTATTGTTCAAACTCCAGGAAGGCCCAGATGCAGAGATTATTGGAGGAGAACGATCTGTGTTTTATTTACTGATGAAAATGTTTGTGACCAGCAGCCATTTGCAGCTCAAGTTATCAACTAAACTCCTAATCACTAAGGTGAGCGCCCTCCTGCCAGCGCGTGTTCGGGGCAGTGCTCCGCCCTGGCCCCCTGAGTGGGTGCTCAATCGGCCCTCGCCACATCTGGGCTGTCTTAGGACTGTTCAAAGTTTAACTCATGTCTTATATGTGGCTGCATTCCCGAGAGGCTGCGTGGTGACCTGGAAAATGGGTGGGCTTCAAAGTCCTTTCTAGGGTTGTTTTGGTTCTGCCCCTTTCTTGGGGTCTACTGGGGAACCGTCTTAACTTCTCTGACTGGCTTCCCCTTGGGGAGTGGGAGTAATGAAGCCAGAGGACTATGGAGGAGATGAAACATGGGGAGCAGTGTGGGCTGTTCCAGCACATAGTGGCTCCCAGTGCTGAGTTCAAGGAGGAGAATGAGGCATTTGGCATTTGTTTCTCTCCTCTGCCTTCTCATACTTGACGCTAACCTTTCTGGGACTGCAGCAGGCCCTGCTGGGGCAGCAGGAGATCTCGTCCTTATTTTGTTGTACGGCAAACACTGGGGGAGGGAGCACAGGAATCACAGTCCCCATTTTTAAGGTGTGGGTCACCTTACGGCCTTAACCTCACCTGAGCTGATTTAAGGACATGTACATCTAGGTCTTGGCCTCAGCAGGTTGCCATTTTCTCCTGGGGTCATAATCCCTGACAGCAGTCGGTAGGGGAGGCCCGTTGTGTTTGCCCCAGTGCTCTCCGTGGCAGGGTTCGTGCGGTGGCACTGCTTAAACCCTAGTCTTTTATCAGGCCATTGTGCGATGTCATTCATCACCCACAGCTCAAGTCCTACCTTACAGCAAAGTCAGCTCTCTTAGGAGTGGCAGGTGCTTCTTGCCAGGGCCACATTGAGGTGGTGTGACGTGAGGAAATGGAAAATTTCATGCAGGCTGAGGTTTTGTCAAGTAGCTGTCAGGGGTCAGGTTGTGCACATTTTCCTACATCTCTGAAAATCCTGGTAGAAAATCAGACTCCAAAGTAGCAGCTGATTTGTTTCTCCTTTCATTGTTTGGGAGTTGGGGGTGAGGAGCCAGAAGCAGCAGGGCTGGGCTGGGCTGTGTTGGCTTTGCTGGACAGCTCTGCCGTTGCCCTCAATGGTAGCAGCGCAGCTCGAGGGAAGAGCTTTTAGAGTAGAACTGTGGGTGAAACGTGAATCCCCTTTCCGCTCCTGGGGTCTGTCACGCTGGAGCACAATCCTGACTCCTCCCATGTCTGTGTCCGGCAGATCCTGCGGGACACGGGGGTGTTTGAGCACACCTGGAAGGAGCTGGAGCTGTGGCTGGAGCACCTGGACAGCAGCGCGGGCGAGGCCCAGGAGGCCGTGATCCAGTTCCTGGAGCACGTAAGCCCGTCCCCGCTGTGCGGGCGCAAGTGCGGGATGAGCCCCCGCTGTGGTGTGGTTTTGATGACCAGGGCCAAGGCGGCCACCTGGTTTCAGAGCCTGTGACGTGGGAGTGTGTGGCTGTGTGCTGTTTGTTTAGTTCTTTTTCAGGATTTTTGTGTGAAGGAATAGTGCTATATTAAAAACAGTGGTGCGTACTACAAAGAGAATTTAAAATTCTACAACAAAGTTTTCAGCTTGGCAGAATGGTGATTGTCCCCACTAGAGGCTGTTCACATCTGAGCACCTTCCCTCAGTGATTGGGGCGGGGCGTTTTTCCTGTTTCACGTGTGACTCGGCTCTCTGCTGCCCAGGTTTTACTGACATTGGTGGCAAATCCCTACCCGTACACAGACAAAGCCTCCGACTTTGTCCAGGAAGCCAGCGCGCTGCAGGCCCCCGCGGCGAGGCAGGACGCCGACGACGCCAGCATTCCCATCTCCCACATCGATGGTAGGCGCGCGGCCACGGCTCTGCCCGCGGCGTGGCCAGGCACATGTGAGGTGGAGCCGGGGCTGCCCCTGCGGCCTCAGGCAGAGGGTAGACGGCCTGTTTCCCTGGTCAGAGAGTGGTCTACTCTGGGCATGAGGATCAGTATCCTTTTTATTTAGCTCATGTGGAGGGAAGTAGGTGCAGCGCTTGTGCGGCGTACTTGGTGCCGGGTGCTGATCCAGGCTCTTCACAAATCTTCACCCATGTAACCTCATAAACAACCCAGGGGGGTGTTTATGTGGTTAAGACAGCTGAGGCACAGAAAGGTTAAGTAACTGCTCAGACTCACACAGCTCAGACCTAGCCAAGTCTAGATTTGAATCCAGACGCTCTAGTCCATGCTGTAACCTCACACTCTTTTGCTGCTCAGATTTTGGGTTGTTCCCTGAATATCCAGGTCAAAGTTTCTGGGTTTCTCGTTGTTACTTGAGGAAACCTCAACCTGTTATCCCCTGAGCTGGATATTCTTCATTTTTGTCTGGCAAGGAACTCAAAATTTTATAAGCAATGTCCTCATTTATTTAGGATGAAGCTTTATATTAAGCCTTTTTCCAAGAGAAGTTAAATTTTGATTTCTCGCCTTGCAAATATCCTCTTACCTAGCCCTTCCATGGGGTGCGCAACAGTGGGGTTTTCGGGTGGTTTGTGCCGTGGCTTGATCTCCTCTCTCTGGCTCAGATGTTCTCGACATGGTGGATGTCCTGGTAGAGGGCAGTGAAGGCTTGGATGAGGAAGTTGGATTCTTACTGGATGAAGACACAGTCCTGCTCACGTTCCCGTTCAGTGCTGTGGTCCCCGCCGCCCTGGAAGCCAGGAATAAGCTGCTCCTTGGGACAGAAAATGAAGCAGGTGCCTGAGTGAAGGCAGGATGCTTGGGGCGCTTCAGGCCAGCTGGTCTGTGAGGGTGGGAGGTGGGGTTCCAGGAGCTCTGAAAACTGAAGGCAGCGAGGTGCAGCCCCACCATGGAGACAGCGACGGGGCCAGGCTGAGAGTGCGGGCACAGGAACCGCCGGCCAGGCTTCTGGGAGACTGGCCGTTGGAGGGACAGGTCTGATGCAGCGTGCCTACCGGGCTGCCCGGACAGCTGCAGTGCCTCCATGCTTTCTCCAGTTCTTACTCCTGATGTCTTCGTGTTCAGGTGTGAGTTCGTCACACCTGCTGTCGGTTGGGCCACTTAGACCGAAGGGCGCACTCACAAATCACATGGTGCCATACTGCAGGATCACCCAGACTCCGCTGTAGTAACAGACAAGCCCCCGCACATCACTGGCTTCATGAGTAAAGGGCTCTCTTGACCTTGGCATCATGCACTATAGTGCAGGGGCCCTCCTGGTCGCTGTCCCCATCTTGTCACTGTGGAGGAGAGAATGGCAGTCAAGCAGGGTGTTATGGGTGGCCTGGAAGGCACTGAAGCCAGAGCCTTGTGCTCTGTGAAAGTGGGTGTGGAAGTGGATAGGTGAGCCCCAAGCAGGGCAGCTCCTGGCCAGCGTGTGCCTCACCTCTGCTGAGCCTGGATCTCCACTTCCAGGTCTCAGGACTTGAGGTCTGATTAATCAGTGGAGTGTGGTGCAACCTGCCTCCCCTTGGGTGTGTACCCCCCTGGAGAGTTGGCATGACTCTCTCTGGGTCCTGGAGGTGTGTGGGAGTTGGTGTCACTAAGGGATCACAGGGGTCAGACCCAGTGAGCTCTCCCCAGAGGTCTCTGGTTTCTTTGCAGGGAAAAGTGTCATGGCGTATCTGACTGCGGTGCTGACGGACCTTCTCCACAGCCAGCGAGACCCCCTGGCCCTGTGTCTTCTGCTTCAGGCTTATGATAAGCTGGAGACTCCACTCCCGGCTTACTGCTGTCAGCTCTCCCGCTTCAACAGCTACTACCGCCTCTGGATCCCAGAGCCAGCCCGAGAGACCTTGGTGAGCGCCCCCTGCGCCGGGAGCCTGCAGGGTTAGCCAGCTGGTGGCCTCAGCTGTCTGGCAGCACCCTGTCAGCTGGAGTTTATTAACCCTCTCCTGTCCCCCCACCCCGCCCATGTGAGAGAGGAAGCTGAGTGGTCTCCACAGCTCAGCCGACGGGATGGAGACAAAGGACCCAGTGTTGTGGCAAAGTCACATTTCCCCTTGTGCCTTTTGGCTTCTAGGCCTGGGATAGGTTGCCTTTGCTTTTTTCCTTACTGAATGGTCTCTGCTTACTTGTCCTGGATACCCATCCTGCAGACATTTTCATGCCCTAGATGTGGGTGGGGCAGGAGGAGAATGGAGTTCAGTTTTAGCTGCACTTGGAAATCAGGCGGCTCAGCACCCCGTCCTGTGACTGGTGGGAGCGCACATGCTGCTGGCGGCTTGCTGCCTGCGGGGCCTCTGCTGCAGGTACCTCTGCACCTGAGCATTGACTCCTCACAACAGCCAGAGAAGATGGTCTACTGCCCTCAAGTGTGTGGGGAAACTGAGGCGAGGACATGCTTAAAGATAAAAGCCCTGTGGGTAAATTGAGAGGGCACTTTAGGAATTTTGCAAGAAGGAACAACTTAATTTTGAGGCAGAACCATTCCAGAAGTTTGTGTTCATTTCATCCATTGTCATCCAAGCCTCCTAACAAGATAGTCAGGCCCAGGCTCCTGGGGGAGAAGGGCTCTGGGAGGCACACAGCTCACAGTCGGCTCCTTTATGGGTGCGGTTCCCCACTTCCCAGCGGTTAACCACCGCGGTTCCTGTCATCAAAGTGAGGTGATTCAGCGCAGCCCCTGACTGTGGCACCGCTTCCCCTGTCATGTCAATGACTCTACGTTAACACGCTCTAGGAAAATGTGACTGATGATACCTGGATTTCATTTCCTTAGGTAAAATGCCGCGTGATCCACATTTTCAGTGTCAGTGTAGGACCATCAGCCCTTTGTCGCCCTGTGCCTGTTTTGCCAGACTGCACTTTTTCATCAGTGGTGATTTATCTTTCTTCTCTTTGGGCCTTTGCTGACTCCCAAGCCGCTGCAGACGTCAGACAGTCTTGCCCCCCAGGATCTACCGACCTCTTCCTTCTCGGCCCTGCTGCAGGGGGCCTATGAGCGCGAGGGGGCACTCCTGGATGAGAGGGTCCAGGCACAGCTGCTGGCTGCCCTCCCGCTCCTTCCCATGCACCGGATCCCTCTCGCTGTGAGACACGTGCTGCTGTACCTCCGGAGCTCTGTGGAGAACTTCCGCCAGGTCAGCTTGTCCCTCCTGCCACTTGGGCCTTCTCTGAGTCAGGTCCAAGTCAGGTGACAGCAAGTGAGGATGTTGTTGACCCATTCCACATGTGGGGTGGGTGGGGACCCGACATGTAGCACCACAGGGCAAGTGTGGGGGCTCCTGGCCTGTTCAGCACTCCTCCCTAGAGCAAGGGCAGGGAGTTGAGTGAGCACCAATTGCCGGCCTTCCTGGCAAACCCAGCGGCTCCCTCCGCAGTTGCAGGTGGCCAGGGCAGCTGTGAGTGAGGATGGGCTTTTCCCACAGCTGGCTGGAACCGTCCATTCTGCCCCCTACCCCCGTTTCTTTCATAAGTTTTTAATTTAGTAGTTCTTATTCTTGAGCTTTCTGTCTCAGATGTGATTTCAGATTTTTAGTTAAGTTTTGAGGCAGGCCTTGCCCCTCACTTTGGTCAAGGCACATCTGTGTATTTCACCAAGATGTACATGGATATGTTTCCTATCAGGAAATGCCTTTGAGTTGGTGGCATTTTAAGAGGTGTGGCCCGTCCAGCTGTGTTACCATGTTTCTGGTGACATCACCCCTGCTAGTGACGGGGGTTGCAGCGACTGCCAGCCCTTCCCTGGCCTGAGGGGTGTGCGACTCTCGTCCTCACAGCTGGGCAGAAGTGCGGGACCAGCCCTGCTGCAGCTTCTCCTGGGCCTCCTCAGGCACCTGGTTGTACACTGTGAGCAACTGGATGCCCAGAACCAGCGGAAATGCCAGGCCGCCCAGGCCGAATCCGACCTCTTTTTGGATATGGAGTCTGTGGCCTCGCTGGAGTTGGCCAATGACAAGGTGCCTCCTCTTCTTTATGGTCTCCTCCTGTGAGCCTCTTCCCTCCACTGATGAGAATATTCTTGTAGGAAAGTGGGAAATGGAGAAAATAATAGAAGAACTAGAATTCCCCCATGACGGCTCACCCCAGAGCTGGGAAGGTTCCCCCGGGCTTTATCTGGACTCACTCTGCTCACTGCGCTCCCTGCCCGCGCTTTCCCTATGCTGTGTGACATCGTGGGTATTTTTCTGCTGCACAGCTGTAGCCTGTGTTACATGGAGGCTGGGTGGTGGGCGAGGCCCCCATAGTCTGTTCTTTACAGCCTTCTTTTGACCCCCAGCTGGGCCTTCTGGGGGGTGAGGACCAACATATGTTGGCGCAGGACCTCTGTGAGCCCATCAGCTGGGGCACAGGGTTTCTGATGCGCCATCGTGCTGTTCCGGGTGGAGCTGGCAATATGTGACTGGAAGGCACCGGGCTCCTCTGCCCTCCCATCAGGGAAGAAAGAGGATCCTCTCCCTGGGGCCTAGAGACGTCATGGGGCAGGGCCATGTTCAGTGAGGCTTAGCGTGACTGAATCAGACTGATCTCAAATCAAAGATAACAGCTGCTTTCCGATCCGTGGTTTTAACTCAGTGTTGGGGTGAGAGTTAGGTTCCCAGGGGGTCCTGGACGCCCAGCTTTCTTCTAAAAGTAGAGACAGGATTATTTCTAGTCCTGGGTTGTGCACCCTCATCACAGGGAGTCCCCACCCCAGACCTGGATTTCTTCTCCACCTACTGCCTTGCTCACCTGTCAGTTGATGCCATATCCCTCAATCCAGATTCGTTTTGGAAGGGGACTGCCGAGGCGAAACCAGGGGATGATTGATCTGAGTCACATTTTGGGGTTTCTACTCAGTGGTTGTCAGTTCATTCAGGCTGAGTTCAGCAGATACCTGCCAGTGTCTGGGATAGGGGGAGGGTTGGAAGGCTGGGGCACTGACCAAATCAGGGTCTAGTCCTCACACTCACACAGGGAGACTATGCCTTCTGGTCAGAGGACAGCTCTGACTGGGCTGGGATTGGTGCTGCAGGCGCCTCTGAGGGGCATTTCAGCTCAAACTTGAGGATGGAGTGATAGAGGCAGTCTGTTCTCCATCCCACGCACACTGGGAGTGTCAGCCTGTCTGCTCTGTCCTCACTGCCCTGGATGGTGGGTGAGGTCAGCCTTGTCCCTGTGTTTCAGACGCTGGAGGAGGTGCTAGTGGCCATCCTACGACATCCCACGCTAGAGGGCTGGTTCCTGGCTCTGGAGCAGCAGGCCCTTCCCGCACACACCCTCAGCCCTGTCCTCGTGAAGCTCCTGGCCGCCCATTTCAGTGCTGGTGTCCTGCAGCTGCTGATGGCCAGTGCCCCGATCCTCCGTAGCCTCGGCCAGCTGGGCCTGCTGGCCAAGTACTCGGAGGCCATCACCCAGAGTGTGTTGAAAGAGCTGCGAAACAAGAGGGCGGGCCCAGCCACTTCGCCATCAAAGACCCTACCACAGCTGGAGGCCCTGCAGGGGCTTCATTTGTATCTAGAGGGCACTCAGCTCCGCGAGGTCACTCTGAACCTGCTGAGACTACCCGAGGCCCATCTGCTGTCCCAGCGAAACACAAAGTCTCCCGAGAAGGAGAGGCACCTGAATGCCTTTGGGAAGACCCTGGTCCAGTTGTTGACCAGCAGCCCCCAGGACCAGCTGCAGAGCGGCGAGCTTCTCTGGGCCTCTGAGTATGTGAGAGGCCTGGGGGCTTTGCTCCCTGCTCTGGCTGTGGACGAGCTGGACACTGTGTTCCTCCACGCTCTGCAGAGAGAGCCCGTGCTGGCCCCCGTGGTCGGGGTCAGCTTGTTTGACTACTGTCTGGCCCGGCACACACCGGCAACCCTGGGCATTGCCACGCTGCTCCTCCAGCACAGCTGCACCCACCTGCTGCGCTTCGAGCTGTGGTGTGGGCAGGCGGGCTCGGGGCGCTGCCTGCAGGAGAGCCTGGACAGCTTCCTCCCCCTGGTGCACATGTACCTCCAGCGCAGGACGCGGGGACACCTCACGCGGCCCGCAGCAGGTACGGGAGGGGCTGGCCGGGGGAAGCGGGGAATTTGAAGTTAGAGGGGTGCAGGAGGTGGAACTGCGGGTCTCGTAAGCCCAGTAACTTCCTGTTCTGGGCTGTGGTTCCATTTCTACTCCAGCCTTTGGCCCCTCAGTTCTGAAGATTGAGAAAGATGAGGACTCTCACTCGACACACTTTTCCTCAGTCTTTCAAACTTACGACTGGAGGTGTAACCCCATCAACTCTGAGTTAGCCCCTGGAAAGCTGGGGGGAGGGGTCAGCAGGAGCTGGGGTTCTGTGGGGCCGAGGGAGGATCAGTGCCATGGCTGGGTGTTGTTACGTTGACAAGAGTCTGCCGGAGTAACCTGCTCGTCCCATTTGCTCGGCTTAGGGGCCTGTGGGTGAGTTGACACCAAGTCAAGGCAAGTTGGGCCCAGTTCTCTCTCCACCCATTTGGTCTCAGATCTGAAGTGCTATATGATCACCTCAGATTTAATTTAATCCCTTTTGTTGTGTGAATGGTTTTTACTCACTGCTTTGTTTTTGTGTTGCTTAACTTCACATCAGTGGTGATGGGTGTTTTTAGAAGTAGGAGCCCCTACAGAGGGTGCCTCCCAGCCAGTGCTTCTCACTGCACCTCTCCTTGCCTCCCTTGTCTGCACCCGGGCCTTTGCAGAGTGACTCCTGGGTGAGCTTAGAACTTTGGTGCTCATGGCCTTATGAATTTTGAGCTCAAGGTTACGCCCAGGGCTCATTGGGTCGAAGACTCCCTGGCAGAGGCTTGATGGATGCAGAGTGACTGTTGTCCTGCTGGTAAATATTTCACATCTGGCTCCTGGGAGAGACTGGCATTTGCCAATTTCTGTGGCGTTGGTACTGCCATGGTCATTTTCAGCTACCAGTGTCACTGCACCCAGGTCGGGTTCCTGAGGCAGCCGTCTGTGCTCATGAGCTGGTCCCACTGGCTTCCTGCTTGGTGACCACCTCTCCTTTCTGTGCCTGCCCCAGTGTCCTCCGCTGTCATCCCTGTCTTGAGGAAGGCCCTGTGGAGGCGGCTGCAGACTGGTCTTCTCAGTGCCATCGGGACCCCAGAGTCCGGGCTGCATCAGGAGATCCTGGCCCAGCTGGTCCCATTTGCAAGAGCCAAGGACCTTGGTGTCCTCACGGACCACTTGCCCAACTTGCTTCAGACACCCAACGGTGTCGGGAGGTACGAAGGCTGAGGTCTCTTGGAGTCCATCCCACTTTCAGCTTCGCTTGTCCCTGGAGCACTTACGAGCACATGGAACCTCACTGCAGTGCCGCTGCGCCGGTGCTGAGAAGCAGTTCCTGCCGGGACCCCAGTGGTCTTGGCCAGAGCAAGTCTGTCTCATCAGGTGGAGGCTGATTCTGATTCCCTTAGACCAGGGGGTGGTTGGAGTTGTCTGACATTGTTGTCACCACATGAATGGGGTAGTTGCTTTGCCATCTAAAGAGTAGAGACCAGGGTCCTACAACGCATAGGATAGCTCCCCTGCAGGGAGGAGTAGCGTGCACAGCTGAGGGCGCCAGGATTACCAAGACTGTTTCCTGACCCCGACAGTCTGGACAGTCCTTACTGTACCTGCTGTGCTAAACGCGTTTACTGTGGCCGTGGCGACGCTAGTACATCTTCCGTGTGAGCCGGGGCGGGGACGCCTGGGATTTCAGTGCGGGTAATGAAGGGAGCCAGACTTGGGCCGCTGTCCCAGGGGCTACTGTCAGGTTGGGTTAGACAAAGCCAGCAGCTGTAGAGTCCACTCCTAACTCTATGACTTGCCTTCCGCTGCAGCTGGATCGTGGCTGACTCTGTCTCCGCAGTTCTGGAGGGGTCAGCGGAAGAGCTGCGTGCCTGGAAAAAGATTCTGCTGGAGTCCTGTGTGAAGTGGCTGGTGGCTGCTTTCAGTGAGGGCCCGCAGGAGGCCGACAGCGCCAGGGAACATGAGAAGCAAGTGCTGCTGAGATTTAAAGAGCTGTTGGTAGGTCTCTTTCCTTAGAGACAGTGGTTTAGTTTTTAAGGTATAGAAAATCGAAGAACCAGGATTTCTAGACACATTCTAAGCAGGGGCTGTGAAGCGGCCTAGTGGTGAATGGGCTGAGTCTTAGAGGATAAGCAGCAGGTGGGGGCAGTTCCTGAAAGGAGGCGTCTTTTATCAGGTTTCATTTTCTTGTAATGTTTTTATCTGATGTTAAGAGCAGTAGCACTGCCTTCAGAATGTTAGGAAAACTTTCCCTGGGTATGGATTCCTAGGTTTTACATCGTCTTTAAGCATTTAAAAAAGTTGTTATACTACCTGGTGGCATGTATTGGGGTCGGAGAATTCAACTCAGTTCTCACACTGCCTCCTGAGACAACTTCAGGCTGCACAGGTCCCTCACAGGCTCCCTCTTGGCCTCTGATCCACCAGCTATAGACTAGAGGTTCCCGCGGCCCTGCCTTAAATCTGAGTGACAGTGACTAGCCTTGGACGGTCAGCCACTATGACTGGAACTTCCAGCCCTTTCTTCTTGCCGGTTGCCTGGCAACTAGCCCCCCCCCCCACAGGCTGTGGGGGGTGGGCCCAAGTCACCTCATTAGCATAAGTATCGCCAGATACTTATGTGGATAGTGTAACTATCCACACTTAGAAAATTCCAAGAGTTGGGAGCTGTGAGCTAGGAACTGTGGATAATGACCAAATGTATACAAGAAATGCATCTTGAGCATCTGAATGACCAAATGTGTATATTTCCTACAAACCCCAATATTGTAGCTCTTCTGTCGTCATCTTTCTCTGTCTGCATTGAGGATTTTTCCCTTTGCATGGTTGAAGTAGTTGGATTGTGAGGGACCTTGATGTTGTTTCCTTCGAGTTTCTTGTGTTTGATGTTCATTGAGCTTGGCTCTGTGACTTGAGAGTTTTGATAAAATTTGGAAACAGCTATTTTTATCCATTACCTCCTTCCATTGGGTGCCCCTTTTAAAAAAACATTGCTATTTATGTGGAAGTAATTCTGAAGACAAATATGTGTTATTTCCTCAGCTTGTGGCATAAAACTGCATTAGGAGTGAATGTTTGTGTTTATCCTCTGAACCCAAATAAAAAGGAATCCTCAGGAGAATAACTTGGGTGAAAATCAATGTGTGGTAAATGTTCAATGTGATAGGTTGAGGTCAAGCAGGGCACTCGCTCACTTGTGTTAAGAGACTTTATAGCCTGTGTTATTAGGTTTGTGTTTGTTGTTCTAGATCTAGAAAGAGGGGAGTGTCCCTGAGTTCTGGAGAGAGCTGAGCTGTGAGGGGCTCACCTCCTCGCTGGGGTGGGGGCGGGGTGAGGCCTTTCTCCAGGTCAGTGACTGGGCCTGCCCTGGCGCAGCGGACCTGAGCCTCGGCTGCGTGTGTGGCCGCCAGTCGGTGCTGTCTGGTGGACCTGGGACGTCAGGAAATGCCCTTGCTCACTGGGTGGTCGTAGGTGTGCTAATGAGGTGACAGACACGCTAGCAGAACAGCAAAACAATAAACGTCAAAGTAAGAAATGATTATATGCTTTTGTGGGTTGTTTATGTACCTGATTTCCATATGGGTGTGGCACATTTCCATATTCTATTTCGAGTTAACTGGGATGTTCGTGTATATTTCTTGTTACTCTGATCATAGAATTCACTTCATGAAGTTGATCCTGAGGATTGGCAGAAGTTTGTGAAGACTGGACTCAAGTAAGTCGGTTTTCTTTCAGGGTGTGCGTGCCGCTGGAGGTGTGGCTTGCTGTGTGTTGCATGGCAGGTGCCTGTGGGGAGCAGGATGCCCACTAGAGACAAGTGCGTGTGCTGGGGAGGCTCATGGTCCCCGCTGACGCAGGCAGTGTGCTGCTGGCAGTGGTGAGAGAAGCAGCCTTTGGAAAGTAAAATGGTCTTTTAAACCCAGGCCTGAGCAGAGAGCTGCCACGAGCAGGCTCAGCTTCTGTGTGTCTGCAGTGGTTGTCTGCCCTCCCCGGAGAGTGTCCTGTGTTCATACTTTAGTCACGTTCACTCCATCCTGTAGGTTTAACGTTTTACACACATGTGTGGCTTTGTGTGTCACTTCTGCACTGAGATGTTTTTGAGAGGTGTTGACATGCGCAGATCTCATCTCTCGTTTTCACCTCTCTGGTGTCTGTCTGTGACCATGCACCGTTCGCGGCTGAGGACTCCCTCCTTCGCTCCCTCCCTCTGTCTGCACCTCCTTCCCTCCCTCCCATTTCTGTGATACATGTTATAGGTCACTTAGTGCCCCATGCCAGCTTTTCCCTTCAAGAGGACACTTGCCAGCTGTCGATGTGGGCACAGCCAGTCCGCTGGGATTTCGGCTTGCTCTCCAGCGTTTCCGAGCTAACCTGATGCGGTGTGAAAGTTCTTGCCCCTCACACCCTCACCTGCACTCGATAGGGTCAGACCAAGTCCCCGGAGCTTCAGTTCCCTGATTAGTCATCAGCTCAGTACAGAGAGAAACGCGATGCATGAGGCGAGAAGGAGGTGAGGGGGGGTCATGACTGATGGCAGCAGTGGTTACCACTGCGAAGTGGTGCCACTGCTTTGGTGCCTCTGTTTCTGGAGTGCCCACTCTGTGCTGAACGATCTTGATGTTGTTCAGTGTGGGTAAAGACGCTCCCTTCCTCCAGCGGGCTCTGGGACTTCAGGCATAAAGCGCTTCTGAACCCTTGAGTAGGGAGGCGCCCCTGGTGAGGTGGGCCGGCCATGGTGTCACCTTGCTCAGACTTGGCCCTGGTGCTGCCTCTTGGCCTTTCGTCTCTACTTTGTGATTTGTTTGCAGCTTCTCTTAATAAAGTGCCAAAGGAAAGGAATTTTTACTGTTTCTGAAGCTCTTCCCCCACTTTGACTCTTGCCTCTAGATTTCGGTATCAGGACCACGCGTTTTTGCAGGCCCTCCATGCTGCCATTCAGCTGCTCTATCTCCCGGAAAATTCCATGTGCTCAAAGCTGGTCCCACTGCCGATGGTCCACATGATGCTCACCCAGCATTCTCTGTTTTTGCCAACTCTGCTGACGTCCGAACAAGAGGAAAACCCAGACAGTCATGTACAAGGTGACCTCTCACCCCCCACTCCATTCAGCTGCAGATTCTGCTTCCTGATTTCCCCGGGCCAGCTATGCACATAGCTCTGTGTGTTTTCAGAGCCAAGACAGTATCGCCAGTGAGGTGTTAGGGTGTTTGTGACTGTCAGGTCCCAGCATGGGAAATGCCCCTACGTTGGGTCAGACAGCACACACAGGTCTCTCTGCAGAGCCTCTGGTCACTCGCAGGCCCTGTTTAAGGTCTCATTGCTGGGGAATTAGGAACGCCGCAGGGGCATCCGGCCTGGGAGAGACTGTTCAGCTATGTCAGTGTCTTGACGGGAAAGTTGGACTTGTTTCATGACAAAGGCCTTTAAACATTTGAGATCTTTCAAAGCCTAGGCTCCATGCCTGCCTGATTCAGGGAGAGTTCACGATTGGAAGTCACCAGGTGGGTGTGTGGTAACTGCTAAACTGAGGAGACCCAGGGCCTGGTGACTGGTCTGGGCTGTGGAAAGTCAAGAGGGCACAACCCTCCTCGTGCGGGAGGGGAATCTTTGAGATGTTGGCAGCATAGTCATGGGGGCAAGTGCAGAGGTTTTCAGACTGTCAGTGGCTTCCCTGGGAGGGAGAGAGGGAACAGACTGAGAGTCAGCTTTGTCACAGGCACAAGAAGAGGCCATTGTGACCTGTTTATTGAAATAAAGGGAAACGTGGGAAGGGAGCAGGCAGCATCCAGAGGCCAGCATCCTTCAGAGGATGTTTCCCACTCTAGGTGTGCCCCGAGTGCCCCCGCCTCTCCGCTCCTCCTGGTGTGCACACCCCTGCTCTCTGTGTGATTCAGTGCTGTTTTCTTCTAGAAGCACTGGTGGACCTGATGTTGGTGGTGGTAAGGATGTGCCCCTCAGTCTGTGAGAGCAGCCACTTCGCGGTGCTCCTTGGGGCCTATGGCGCCTCCCTCAGCATCCTGGGTGAGGGTCTGAGGACCAGCAGTGTGACTCGCCAGTGTGGGGACTGGGTTGTGTGAGCGAGAGTGTGAGGGCTGGGCACTGGGGCCAGTGGGGGTGTGTGGGGACTGGGAGGAGTAAGTGAGGGGTCCAGCTTTTTAAACGGACCCTTGGTTGACTTCTAGACCAGAAGATTTTGCTTCTTCTCCGGGCATATGAACAGAACCGCCTCAGCCTCATCAACTTCAGGTGAGCAGCGGGGTTTGAGGGTGCCCTGCAGGCTGTATGGGGCGTCAGTCCTCAGGGGGCTGCATAGCTGAGCCACCCTCCCATGGGTGCCTGTCTATCATGGACCTGCTCCCAAACTCACTCCCCACTGGGGTGTCGGTCTAGTTGATTTGTCTGGAAACCTTTCTCTTTGTGCTTTACTTTTGACAGGAGGGACTTGTGCTCTGGGGCTTTGGTGGGGAGAGGGAGGCTGCTGGCTGTGTTGTCCTACTTCTGTGGCTGTATCTGCATTTGTCTCTTTCCTCTCTTCTGCCTGTCTGCCTGCCCTGGACACGAGGGGCTGCTTGCCAGCCTCCAAGACCAGCTCACCCTGCCCCGAAGGGCCTGTGACCCGGCCCACATAGCCCTGCAAGGGCCAAGTTCTGAGGATCCCTGACCAATGGCTGTTTGTAGAAAGCATCTCAGATTCCCTTTGCTGCCCTAGTTTCTTTTCTCCTTGCCAGACCAGCACCTTGACAGCTGCCCCATACACACATGAGGAAGTGCTCTGTGTGCTAAGATGAGGGAGCCAGGCAGGCCAATGCGGGAAAAGGGAATATATCCCACTGTAGATCACTTTGGAAGGTGAAAGTTCATCTAGAAGCCATTCTCTCTTCACTCCCCCCCCCCCAAAAAAAATCCAACAAAGAAAAACATTCTCACAAGTGCCCAAGTTTTGAATAAATATTCTCTTCCTTCTCCCATGCACGGACCTCACACTCTCGTTCTCTGCGCCAGGTGTGCCCTTTCTGGATGGAGCAGGGCCTGTGAATGTCAGGGAGCAGGGCAAGTGGTCACTGTCTTCTCTCACAGCGGGGAAGGTGCTGCCTGTCCCCCGGAGCTGGCAGGAAGGTGCTTGAGCTGTGGCAGGGGCAGATGAGGTGGCTCTCAGCAGGCTCAGAACAGCTCTGCCCTGCGACTGCTCTGAGGGGCTGCCTGGGTTGCCGTCATTAATTGCTCTGTTTCAGGCAGTCCGTGTGACCCGTTTGCCCTCCCTGTCTGGCTCTAGGGTGCTGCTGTGGGGCCCGGCGGCCGTGGAGCATCACAAGACGTGCAAGAGCCTGGGCAAGTCGCTGTGGCAGGAGCCGAGCGCCGGGGACATCCTCCGCTTGCTGGATCAGGACCGGATGATGAAGACCATCCTCCATTTCCCCCAGCACCGCAGGCTGCTGCCCCCTGAGGTGCGGGGCCTAAGCACAGCCATCACAGAGCCACCCCGAGGCTTGGGTGGGCGCTGTTCTGCCCACCCCTTAGGGGCGACATTTGCACCCTTGACATTGGTCCCTATAAAGTACAAGTGCTGTGTTCCCTCTTACTAAGTGAAATCTTGACCATAGACTGGACCCCACCTGCCCGTCACCCAGCTGCAGCAGTGACCAGCACTGCCATGCTTGTTTCATGTATAACTTCTCCCCCAAAAGATGATCATAAGATGCAAGCCCCAAAGATCATACCTATCATTTCACGTCCAAGTTCTGTTTTTCACAGAAGAATCTTTTTTTACGCTCTTGAATATTCAAAACTCTCTGAACTCTAGCAGCAGTATGTTTTCCCGTGAGATTGCCTTTATGAATAGACTGAACTGCACATCTTTCTTTGTTTTTGTCTATTTCAGGATGCACAGGAACCAATATTTACAGACAGGAGAATAGTGGATCTCGACAGCCTTTATGACCCCTGCTTTCTCCTTCATCTCTTCAGTGAATTGACGAGACCAGGTAACTTCAGCCTCACTGGGTGTGGTTCCTGCTCTGCCCAAGTCAGGTGCAGCTCTCTGGAGGGCAGGTCCCCACCGTCATTCTACCCATGTTGCTCTAACTCCCTCTTCGTGAAGACACTCTACCGTGGCTGAGGCATGCAGGGGCATTTCATGCAGAGGGTAGAGGCTGCAAGTCGGTATCTCTACTGCCCAATGACACTTAGCAGCAGACTGGCAGGCACAACCAGGGTGGCCAGGAAGCAGCTCAGTCTGTTTCTTATCATATATGAAAATAGACTTTCCACAGTCTGAAAATATGAGTCAGCTAGTGAATTAAACAAGTCGCTTGTTGCTCTTTCAGTAGAGCAAAAGGCTTGGGAAATACTTAATGGGAAAATAGTAAAATCATGACAGAGAATTCTTCACAAAGTCCTAACTATTGCCTCATCAAGCAGGACTGGCAGGGTCTGAAGACCTTTTGTGAAGAGGCAGCTAGTAAGTGGTCTTTCAAGTTAGGAACTTCTTCAGGTACAACCTGTTTGAGTTTTATTGGTAAATGCAGGTAGAAAAATTATCAATAGCGTGTTTATCCTTAGGAGGATTTGTGGTACTTAAATTACTGGTTGCACTAAAATCATTCAGTGTAGAATGATTTTAAAGTAGAAAATTTTAAAAAAACATAGAGGCAGAAGGTAGGAAGGAACCGACAGAGGTACTAGATATGTTATATTTTGCTGTGGGCTACTTGTCTGCAAAAAAGTAGAAACATGTTTTACAGATTTGTTATCTGATGAGAGGATGGATTCATTCATCAGAAGAGGATTATTCTTATCAGTAAAATGACCCGCTCAACAGAAAGTGTGACCAGCACAGCAGTTACTGTAGTGTGTGTTTATTGCGGTTGAATTAAGTCATGAATCTATTTTTTCAAACATACTGTTCCTTTTGCTTTTGCTCTGGTGAGCAAGTAAGCATGACTAATGTTTTAAATAGACTTTTATGGAAGTCTGTGTGACCTGTAAAGCAAACCCAAATTGTATGTATGTGCCTTGACTTTGTCGAAACCACCAACCGAATGGCAGCACAATAGACAGCTCTCCAGGGCTCGTGGCCGTGCCCTTCCTCTCCTGCAGGGGCCCGCAGCCTCTGTGCCAGCCTTCTTGTACGCCACGTAGTCTTTTGAGCCGCTCTGCTTATCCATGCTGAGTTTGTGAGATTCACCCATGCTGTGTGCGGCAGAAGTTCTCAACAGTGTGTTTCTACTTTTGTGGTGGCACCAAATCCCAGTGTTGCTCCGGGTGTTAGGAGCAATCCAGTGTGTGATCAGTTTTGATGTATGACTGGCAGTCTTCAGAGAAACTGCAGTCTCTGTGCTCTGGTCCAGCCCTCTGCTGAAAATGAAAACCTATTTTCTTAACCTTACTGCTTTCCTTCTTTGAGTCCTTGGCTCAGAGACAGGGCCAGCCAAGGCTGTTATCAACGACAGTGACAAATGCTTTTTTCCTCAGCGAATTCTTGTCCTCAGCAGAACGGGAGTGAAATCTTCAGCTGCTGCTTCACATGTGCACAACCAGGGGGCCCGTGTGTGGTTCTCCAAGCCTCCTCACTGGGCTGAGAGGACTGAGATGAGCCTGGCCCAACAGGCCACCTCTGGGGAACTTGGTACGCAGAGGCTTGGGGGAGAGTTCTTGACACCCTCCCCCACCCCCTGGCCCCATAGCATAGCTGGGCTGCTGCCAAAGGCCCTAAAACTCAGGGCACTTTTTATTATAATTTTTGATTATTGTCTGGTGAGGATTTTGGTCTAAAGGTCTGTTAATCGGAAGGCCACATTGTAGTTTATGAGGCTTTGACAGGAAGAGAAATGGCATTTTTAACTATTTTTAATGACCTGTATTTTCCACACCCAAGAGCTACTCTTTCCCATACATGCTTTAAAGTCAAGACTGCCATAGTCTAAGATGAAATTGACTTTCCCTCATGAACACGTGGAAAAACCATTTGTCTCAGAGAATGCCAGTGATTACTCAAAACATCCCAGCCAGCTGAGCACAAGCTATTTTTAGTGAGTGTAATATTAAATGTTTAGACTATTATTTTTCCCAAATGTGTTCCATTTATATGTATTTGTTAAGAAGGTATGTAGATAGATCTAAAAACATTTCTCACCTTTTCCAAAACTATCATTTTACCCCATGGTTTGGTGATTTTTAAAGCTTTTTAGTTTCCCCCTGCCTCCTATCAAAGAAAATTTTAGTGTGTGGGGTAAAACGATACCGGCTTACAAAAGATGAGTCTTTGGATAAGCCAAGTCTGTATTGTTGCCACTATTGCTTCAAATGTTATCAGGGACTTCAGCTGCACTTACATTACACTGTATAGCCTTGTTCCACAGTCACAGATGCTCTGCTTATATGTTTAAGTTTCTTCTCTGTGTGCCAGTTTGGGTAGTTTCTATCGCTGTCTTCAAATCCACTGATCTCTTTTTCTGCAGCATCTAATCTACTGACAATCCAGGCATCCTGCAACTAATTTACATTTTCATCTCTAAAGGCTTGGTTTGAGTTTGTATGTCTTCCCTGTCTGCACTTGACCCCCCTGGTCTTGCTTTTATGCTTTGTCAGGTGGGACCAGAGCAGCACTAAGCTGGGACAGCCTGCCCCACTGCTGAGGGGGAGTCTTTCTGAGTACTCTCCCCTTTCCTGCGAACAGTGAGGATTTCAGCCTAACTGGTGGGAAGAGGCGCTATTTGCAGGCGGGGGTTCTCCTGAATGGCGCTCGGAGCTCTGGCTCATTGGGCGTCTGTGAGAAGTGGTGAGAGGATCTTAAAAGGAAGGTGGTGATTATTGCCACCGAAGGAAAGATAGTCTCTTACTCAGTCCCAGCAGGAGTCAAGGAGAGCTGGAGAAAGACTTGGTTTCTTGCATCTGGCGCGTAAAGCTGATATTGGTAAAATGCCAAAGGAAAGTTAATTTGCCATGTCGTACAGGTATCATGGAATCATGTGTTCAATGCTGTGTTTTATTTCCTGCAGAATTTGTGGTGGATTGTCGAAAATTTTTGGATTCAAATGCTCTCGGCCTCACATTTGCGGCCCTCAGCAGCTACGACCCCCAGATGCGAGCCGCTGCCTACTACGTGCTGGCCGCCTACTACTCACACTTGGAGGGGGCGCGTTTCCGAGAGCAGGCCCAGGTGAGTGGGGCTCGGGTGCGCCTGAAGAGCTTTGGGAAGCTGGCTCCACCCGGCCTGGGGGGGGCTCTGAGGAGCATGGAGGCCTGTCTCTGGGGGCCTCTGATGAAGCACGAGCCTGCCCCCGCTGGGGGTGGGGCTGGAGGTTCTCCACTGTCCCCCGAGGGGAGGTGCAGTAGGTCTCCCCTTACCAGTTCTCTTCCTGCGCTGCAGATGGGCAGAGCAGTTTGCTTTCTGTTCACTAATTTTGGTCTGAAGTCAGGTTAAGCTGCTGTTATACACACACACTGAGGGCCAGAAGCCTGTGGCCCTCAGCGGTAGGGAATGGGGTAGGTTAGATTCTCAGGTGGAGCCAGGGTTCTCTGCCCTGGACACAGGAAGGTGCCCCTGCCAGACTGGTGGTCGGCAGGCGTGTGAGCATCACCGCTGGTTCCTGGGGTGGGAGGAGCCACTGCCCCACAGAGGAAACAGGCCTGCTCACAGTTGTCCTGATGCTCATCTCTTGTTTCCTTGTTTCTGTTTTTAAGCTACTTTACCTGTTGGATGTGGTCAGGAACGGGATCCGAACTCAGAACATGAGACTCACCTTTACCTTAAGTCTCTTCATTGCCAAAGTGGCCCTGCAGATTTTGAAGCCAGGTACCATGGGCAGACTTAGGTGGTGGTGAGAGTGAGCGCCCCTCATGTAGGGTGAATCCTACAGGTGTGATTGTCGCCTGTGAGAGCCGTGCAGGGGCAGCTGATGCTGTGACAGGGAGGGGTTGGGGCAGCCCCCTAGCCCACCGCAGGGGACAGTGATTAAGTGGTGGCTGTGAGGAAGAACCTTGTGGGCCCTGGGGGTGAAAGCCAGAAGAAATGAAGTGAAGAGACAGCGCAGCAGAGTGTATGTGGTGGGGCCTCAGGTTTGCATGTAGGTGTGCACAGCTGTGGTGAGAGCACGGCGTCGCGCCTGCGTGAGGGGCTGCTGTGCGCGGCGTGGCGCTGTCCGGGAATGCCTGGGGACTCCTGGGGGACCAGCAAGCAGTCTGGCAGCTGCTGACCCACACAGGGAGGTCTGCATCTGTGTACCCTCTGCTGTGGCGGTCCCCTTCGGCGAGAGGCTGGCAGCATGCCTGGGAGCCCTGTGCAGTCTCAGCTGGCAGGCCAGGCCCTGCTCTGCCCAGCAGCCGACTGGCGCTCATGCAGGAGGTGATGCGGGGGTTGAGGGGAGTCTCTGGAGGACTGGGGCATGGAGGTGGTGTCGGAACCCTTGGAGGGCCTGGGCACAGGGTGGAACCGAGGTGTCTCACTGCATTCTGAGTCAGAACCAATACCTGGTAAAGGGCACCAGAGCCCCATGGGGTCAGAGACGTAGGTCTGATCCAGCTCCAGCCCCCGCGGGGGGCCTGCGGGGCCCTGCTGTAAATCTCTGCCTCTTTCTAGAGGAGCACATGTACTTGAAGATCAGCAAGTTCCTGCTGTCACACGAGTACTTGAACATGAACAAAATTCCAGGCTTCTACCAGTTCTTCTACAGCTCAGACTTCGAGGTAACGCATCCACGGACCTCACGACCCTGCAGACTCCCGGATCGGCTCATCAGCCTCTCCTGCCCTCCTGCCACGCTCCCTGAATTCTGCTGGCTGCAAGGCCAACCCGCTCACACCAGGCGTTAGAGCAAGCAGGCCGGGAAGGACGTGGACGCAGCTTGCGTGTGCAGGCGCTTTTAATTCCATGTGTTGATTTTTAGGTAGCTTCTTGAACCTTAAAAATGTGGTCTGTTTTATCCCATATGTGTTTATTTTCTTGGTGAACCACAGGGTTGACTGCTCTAAATGTACTTTTATGAAACTTCCTGAGTTAGCAGAATTCAGCGTGTGCACTCAACTTGTCCCTTATTCCTGACCTAAGAAACCAAATGAGAGGTGTAGCGAGGGTGTTATCAGTCCCCTGATCAGAATAGGCCAGGGCCACTGTGCTGCAATCCTTGTCTCCACTTGAGAAGACTGTCATCTGAAAAGCGGTCACATGAAAGCCTTAAATTTGCCTAACAGGGGTTCCTACTTGCTTGGGTTTTAGCAAAAAGCGGAGCAGGAGTGGGTGTTCGGAATCCTGCGGCAGGGCATTCGAGACAAGCACTGCTACGAGCTGTACGCCAGGCGGGGCGTCTTCCACGTCATCTTGTCCTTCTTCAACAGCCCCTTGTGTGATGACGTGGCACAGGTAGGTGCTCCCTCAAGTTCGTTTGAGACTAAAAGGTCTGCTCTTTTTTCAAGGTTTCATTTGGAAGTCAAGTACAGGTCACTTCTAACCCCAGCCTGGACATGACTCATGCCTGCTCTTTTGACATCACACCCCACTTTCAGTGAGAACCAGTGAGGTCTTTCCTCTGGTTGTGTGTGGTGCTGAGTGTGGTGTGAAGCTCACTATCATTTGTCCTCCGGCCAAGTCTGCACAGTAGCCTCTTCCTGTGCTCTGGATAGTGAGGCCTTGAAAGAGGGAGGAGCTTGGCAGTAACCTCAGACTCTGGAACTGGCAGAGATATCCAGAAACAAATCCCCCCGCTCCCCCTCCCGTACTTTGACCCGGATACTCTGAAACCACCAACATTTCCCTGAATGCACAGAGGCTGCATCTCCTCGGAACTCAGCTTAGGAACAGCCCAGAGTCTGAGGGGCGCTGTCTCCTCAGCCGGGAGCGCGAGTGTGAGTGTGTGTCCTGTGCGACAGGGGCACTCGGAGGAAGTGAGCAGAGAGGGAGGCCTTTGGTCTTCGATTACTTCTGACTCACTCAGCTTTAGTTCCTGATGCGTGAGATGTGGGAAAACAGGAGCAAGTGAGTCAAGATAAAGAAGCGTGTTTGCATAGGCCAAAATTGAGGATGGTGGTTTTTGGTTTTATGGCATGTGGGAATTCTGAGCACCCAGTCAACAGCCCAGTGGACAAGGCCCTTTTTCTGTCCTGTCGGTGGACCGAGGGAGCTATTTGAGGTGGGGCCCCCAGTGGGCAGGCATTCTCGTAGGGCTTGGGCCCCTGCGCCCGCCTGTGTGGTCTCTTTGCTTGTCAGTTTGTACCTTGTGGTGGATTAGTAGAAGCGGGCCCCCCCCCACCCCTCAGGCCTGGCGGTTTCTGGGAGCCCTGTGACCTCCGCTGTCACTTCTGGAGGGGAGCCTCCTCCGCTCTGACAGTCTCAGCAAAGCCACCTGTGGTCACAGCGTGCTGTGACGTGCGGACTCTTACCTAGTTCAACCCAGGAGGGTAGGGTTGCTCACTGAACAGTATCTTTCTGTTTGGGGTTTTCAGAATTGGATCCTGGAAATTCTCCAGAATGCTGCCCAGGATACCAAATCTGCTTATGCGCTCCTACGAGACTACAGCCTCTTAACATGGATTTTACACATCCTGGAGAGCAGGTAAACACCTGCCCAAGAGGCGGCTGTCAGTCGGGACAGGGCGGGGAAGAGATGGCGGCTTCAGTGTGGACTGAGGACCAGGAGAAGCAGTGTCCTCATACCACTCCATGCCTGTGACCGGCCTGGTCATGTCAGCCTGTGTCATCTGCATGGCCTGATAGGTGCCCGCTGCCACATGCATTTAGCGAAGGCCCCATGGGCCACCTCTGTTGTGTGTGGTCCAGGCTCCTCCCCTGGAATGGCGTCATCCATTAGTGGCTACAGCCCTCCTTATGGGACAAGCAAGCCTCCACTCTGGGGGGGCACTGTGGGGTCCCTTGTGTGCTGGTGGGCCCAGCTCTCCACTGTCACCCAGGGTCGGGTTGTGCTCCGTGAATAGCCAGTGCCCGCAACGGCAGGGGCTGGAGTCAGCGTGGTTGTGTAATGACTTAAATTCAGACAGCAGGGATGATGTTTCTCCCAGTTCCGAGGTGGAGGTGTGGGGCCAGGGGTCAGCGTGGTCAGTGCTGCTAAGGGCCCGCTTCCTGGCTGGCACATGGCCATCTCCTCGCTGTGTCGTCCGTGCCCAGGACAGGAGAAGGGGCTTTGGTGCCTCTTCCTCTTATAAGGACATAATCCCATGGGGTGGGTGGGGGGGGGTCCTTCATCCTCATGAGCTCATCTAAACCAAACTGCCTCCCAAAGACCCACCCTCAAGTGCAGTCATGTTGGGGGTCGGGGCCTCAACATACGTGTTGGGGTGGAGGGGGCTCGGTGGGTTTTTATCAGTCTCCTGAGTTTGAACTTATCACTGAAGGCAGCACATGGTGGAGGGATCTTTCTTTCAAGTCACTGGCCCCTGTAATAAGCCTGGGGCTAGCCAGGCCCTTTTTAAAAGTTCCTACTTTGTTTTCCTAAAAGAAATTAATGTCCTGAATCTACAGCGTGTGTTTGGACTTGAGCTTTAAGACGGTTTCATGTTTGTAGGAGGCCTCGCTGGCCGCTTACCTGTCCCTGGCTGTGAGCTTCATGGTTTAGGAGCAAGTTGTTCTCGGGAACAGGACAGCTTTGCTACTGGGCCTTGGTGGCCCTGGAGTTCCCCTCTAGGTGGGGCGGGGTGGGGTGGGGTAATTCTCAGAAAGCAGGGTCGGGGCCTCACACTGTGTTGACGCTGCATTTACTTTTACATCAATGCTGTGCCCTTTCGGGGGTGTGGTGGGGAAGAAGCAGATAGAAATGTTGGGGGAGAAAGGCCCGCCCCTGGGGCCTGCTGCCGTGGTTGTCATCTGCTCCATAGTTCCCGCCATCCACCTGCAGATGTCAGGGGAAGGAGAGGGGGACATGGTGACCTCCATGTCTGGTTTCAGGTTCCTGGAGACCCCTCTGCTGTCTAACGTCATCTCCTTGCTGCACACGCTGTGGGTGACCAACCTGGGAGACAAAGGAGTAGTGCTGGGGAGCCTGCCTCCCGACGGGCCCGGGCCCCAGGAGCCCCCGAAGCTGCTGGCCCTGCACCTGGTCAACGAGTTCCTTTACGTTCTCCTTGTGCTCACGAGGCACCTGAGGTAACCCCTCCCCGGTTGTGACCCATGTGCCAGTTGGCGTTGCTCACCCGCGCCCTCTCTTCCTGGCTGTTCACAACTTCGTGGCTAGCCCGGGCCTGGGGCTGCTGTCTGTGATGTCAGCTTTATGGGGCGCTTTCTGAGACCCGCGAATTCCACACACTCTGATCACCTAAAAGATGTCACTCTAGGCCACTCTGGCAGGTGGACCATCTACTTGACATTTTGATTTAAGCTTTTGAAGTCACGCTGTGTAGAAAGAACAGGATTTCCGAGCCCTTAGCCTAAGAACGTTGAGGTGTCCCAAACTTATGTCTGCCTCGTTAGCCTGCAGACCCTCCTTGTCTGAATTTTCTTGACTTTCTAAATACCCCTCTCGCCCTTGTGTGATGCCCTCGGTTTCTTCGGGAGGGCTAAGCTCTCCTGCACTGTTCCAGCGGTAACTGTGCACACAGATTTCTGATTTGGGGACAGGTGGACTGAGTGGAACCAGAAGGCTGATATATCAGCAAAAGGATTGTGAGCGCAATGAAAATTTCTTGGTAGACACCAGAGCACTTGCTTTGATGTTGTTCCACATTCAGTGTCTGCACAGCGTAGCCACAATTCTTCCCAGGTCTCTCTCGGGTGCTAGAAACAGTGATTGTCGTTGAGTGGAGCAGATGGGATTGAATTTTAAATTCTGGAGTTGCAGGGGGTGTCTCCCCGCAGTGACCACTGCCAGGTGTGGCCGTGGTGGCGACCGCCGCCCAAGACCTTCCTGAGCCTTTTCACTCGAGTCTGAGGGCTTCTGAGGCGGAGAGGCGCCAGCGTGCCTGTGTCACTGGGCGCTGGCCGGGATCCTCAGGCTCGGTCTGCCCAGCTCTCGGGGTTAGCCGTGGTTCCAGTTCTCAGCCTGGACACCAGGGCCCAGCCCCGTTCTGTCCCCCTTCCTACAGTAGCTGGCTTTTCTCTGGCCCGTATGCTGGGCCCCACGCTCCATGTCGGGACACGTCTGGTGTTGGCCAACTGCCTGGGTCTGGGCTGCGGGGCAAGAAGCAGCCCTTGCTCAGTCTGTGACCTTGGCCCCCCAACAGGCCCACCTTGGCCCCTGCCCAGCTGACCAGCTTCTTTGGGGCCCTTGACACGGTGCTGAGGTACCGGACCACCGTCCTGCAGGCCTTCAAGGACATGAACCGCTTCACGGTGAACGAGACGGTGCTGTCCACCAAGGACGTGCTCGTCCTGCTGCACAAATGGAGCCTCCTCGAGAGAGACGTCAGGCTCCAGGAAGACCTTCGAGCGGCCGTGGAGAAGCATCCAGCCAAGGAGCTTCTGAGTGAGTGGAGGGTCCCCTGACCTGCCATGTGTCCACCCAGAGCCCCCCCCCCACCCCGGGCTTGGAGAGCGCCGGGGACCCCGCTGAGGCAGGCTGCCGCTTTCGGGGTGCTCACCTGTGAAGGAGTAAAGGGCAGAGGGTCACTTTGGTGTGGTGAGGATTAAGTAATCAGCTAGTATTATTACTTGATTAAAAATTCCTTCTTTTATTCAGCAACTAAGTTTTCCGTCTGAAGGGCTCGATCTCCTTACTGACTGGTGCATCTTTTCTTCCCCACCACCGTCCCGTAGCCCCCTCGACCCTCTCTCCTCCCTCCTCCCTGTTAACCACAGAGAAGCCTCACTTTGCTTCTCAGCGTCTGCTGGTTTTTCTAAGTGTTGTGCACCGTCAGGTCGTCTGCTGTGTAACCATCCGGTGCTCGTTGACTTGCTTGGCTGCACGTCATTCCTTCAAACTCCTTCCATTTTTGCTGTAAATGGCACCGTTTTGTCTTTCCTCAGGGCTGGGTAGTGTCCCCTTGCTGGTATGATGAGCTCTGCAGTCGGGGCACATCGGGGCCCCCCATGCTCCCAGCTTAGGGGCTGAGCAGTGCCCTGTGCTGGCCCAGAAGCTGCCCCTCCTCTTCCCCTTCCCTCCCCCACCCCACCTCTCTCCTCCCCCTCCCTGTGTGAGGGGGGATAGCAGTTCCACTGCCTCCTTTCTGTGTGAACTAGAGATGTTCAAGGAGAAGAACAAGCCTGCTGTGCCAGCCCGCGCCAAAGGCCCCCGGGGCCGGAAGAGGCGGCCTGAGGAGGCAGAGGCAGCGGCTGAGCCTGAGCTGCAGGCATCCAGCTTGGAGACGTGCAGGGGCCTCCTGAGGTCCATACTGACTCACTGGGGACCCGTGTACCCCAGCCCTGAACTGCCTCAGGAGTCCACGGACGGGCCCGAGAACAGCGCCGGAGGCTCTGGGCACGCCGCTGCCTCCCTGGTGGTCAGCTGGGTGCTGCGGTCAGTGGCCGGGTGCCCCCTCAGCAGGGCAGAGGCGGCAGGACTCCTCGGCTGGCTTAAGAGCTACGTGTTGCCACAGCCGGCCCTTGTGACCGACCTTCTCAGGGACAAGGCCGTGAGGAGCAGCTTGTTCAGGCTGCACAGCCAGCTCTGTGGTGCTGAGCAGCTGGCGGGGCCCGAGCTGAGAGTGGCCTGCCTGTTCAACTCCGTCATGCTGCAGATGATGGCGACCCAGGGCCCGGCAGGGAGCGCCCTCGGGCAGACAGTGGAGGCGCTCTGCTGCCGCTCTCTGGAAGACGAGGAGGAGGAGGCCACGAGAGGTGACCTGCTGCTCTGCTGGAGCACCTGGGGGCGGGGGCGGGGCCTCAGGTGTGCCTTCCAGCCTCTTGCAAGCATCCAGCTGGTGACCCAGAGAGCTTGATCCTGGGCCCTTAAGTGCAGGGCCAGGAAGTTTGGCTTTGGCTTTAGTGACACTCACCGATACAGGGAGAGTGGGGCCCAGTCAGGAGCACACGCTCGGGGTGAGGGGAGGAAGGAAGGGTTCTGTGGTTCTGTGGCTCCTGCCTTTCCACTGTGCCCAAGTGAAGAGAGACATTTTACCTTGTGGCGAGGTGTGTGCAAGTGTACAGGGATGTGTGTGCTCACCTCTACACACACAAACACGTCCAGCTTACGTGCTTGGCATTCAGCAGGTGTTACTAAAGGCTGGTGGCGGGAATGAACCAGCAGCACATAGCGGTGAAAGCCGTGAGGCTATGCCCTGGGCGGGGGGCGGGGCCTCCATGAGGAGGGAGCAGGGAGAGTGATGGACGGGCCGGCGGCCCGCAGTGGTGAGCCCCCCTGGTAGCGGTTCAGTTTGAAAATGAACAAAAAAGATGAACCCAGAGTTGAGCCAAGGCAAAGTGAACGTGCTGTGTCCGCCGACTGCCCCGGGGTTGCCGCAGGCACAGACGAGCAGTGAGGTTGGTGCTTGGGAAGCCCAGTGCGGCGCAGTCACTGGCTGGCTGGCGTGGTAGGCTCCTGTCCTAATGGCCTTGTTCCGCCTCTTCCTCAGCCACCGCGGCCTTCCTGGTGTCTCTGTACATTAAGGACGTCTGGCTGGGGGCCCAGCAGCCAGACACACTCCTGCACCACGTCCAGATGACCTGCGACTCTGCAGAGGAGGAGCTAAGCAGCGGCGGAGAGGCCATCGTCCTGCTCTGCAGGGATGTCACGGCCTCGGCCCCAGACGCCTGACGCCCTGTCTGCTGCCCTCAGCGCCAGGTTCTAGGAGACTGATGGAGTCAAGGGTTTCTGTGGCAGGCATGTGACGTGGCGGGCTGCGTGTGCCACTCAGTTCCCTGGCCAGAGGGCTGGCATTAGTTGACCATGGCCTAACGAGCTCAAGGGACTGTCCAGAATGGTCGGTGCTGGGCGCTGGCCGTGCCCCTCGGCGCCAGGCAGGCGGGCCCTTCCTCCTGTCGCGGAGGTCGTGCTCTGAGCACCCAGGGGGTTCCAGACAGTAAAGTAAAACGTCAAAAGACACATCGGATAAAAGAACGCGAAGAGAAGTCACGACAAAGCTTAGCCTACGACTGTTGGCGTAATTAGGCTCCCGCCCGCGTGTGTTCAGTACTTCACTGCATGAGAGTGTGTTGTATGGAACCCTAAAAGCAGGCGCCCATTTGACTTCTGCAGCTGTGTTCTTTTTAAAGGTGTATTTTAAAGAGGGGAATTTGAACTTTATAACTTCTTGTTAATAAATTTCTATTTTTGTTAGACTTTTGTACGTTGCTTCATTGATGTTGTCTGTTTTTGTGCCATGGAGAGCTGCATTTTAGAGGCCGGGATTTGACTTTCAAGATTCCTATAGGTTGGAGTTGTCGCGGACAGATGTTGAAAAGGAAGCTTCACGGGTCTCAGATAAAATCCCAGCCTGTGTTGAGTCCCGGCACGCAGCTGGGCCCCGGGCCTACTGGCCGTCGTCGCCCGGCAGCACCGGCAGCGGCCCCATCTGACAGCTGCATGTGCCTGCTCGCTTGCCAGGCGGCACACGTAGCCCCAAGAAGACCTTTCCAGACCAGCAGTGTTCCTCAGACTCTTTCTAGACTCTCTTCTGTTTTGTTTTTTGAATGACTTAAGATTTAAGCAAGACAAGGGGAACGGTTATCTGTACCTTGTCCCCTTCCTGCAAGCAGGGCCCACTGTCTGGAAAACAAGTGGCTGCCAAACAGCCGCAACCCAGGTCCGTGGGGACTGGCTCCAGGACACACCCCCACACCCCCCACCACGCAAGCCCCTTGCAGAAACCGGCATAGCTGGGCATGGAACTACACAGACTCTCTGCCCCCGGTCGTCTCTCGGTGACCTGTGACCACGAAGACCGCGGCGTGTCACCGCTGGGTAAACGTCCGACGCGTCGCTGCCTTGGGAAGTGAGCACAGGAAAGAAGGCCCGCTCAGGGGAAGCGTCACGGGCCTGACCACGCGTCCCGTCCCGTCTGTGGATGCCTGACCCGAGACACGGAGGGCGCCAGCGTATTCTGAAGTCGGAATCCTGCTGGATGCCAGTCGGAACGCCGCGTGCTCCTCTCGGCCACCTTTGCAGCCCTGGGGGGCTGCAGTCTCCCCTCTCGCATCATCCCTTCTAGCCCCCTGCGCCTGCCTGGCCTGGTGAGAGCCGTCACCGGTGGAGAGGTTTTAGGGGTTGTGTGCTGTGGTGCTGTCTCTGCACAAGAGGACTAGATCCTAAGGGGGTGGGGGTCTCTTCAGAGGTCACATAAGGTCACCATTGAGAGGGGACCCTTCCAGCCACTTACAGCTGTTCTGCTGGCGGCAATAGGATCTGGGATTTCTCCCCTTGCCTTTGGGCCCTGCCTGCTCCCTCCAGGGGCGGTGCCGTCTCTGCTCAGTCTCTGGCAAGCTTTGGGAGGTCGGGATAGGGCCCCTGACTGCTCAGCTGGCTGGCTGGGCACCAGCAGGGGAGGAATGAGGGCTTCACAGACCCCTGGGGGCCTGGAAAGGTGCACACTGGCCCAGTGAACTCAGGCTTAGTAAGATGATGCAGAATAGTTGACGCTAAGCAGTGAACAAATATATTTTTGTTTTCCCACCCTCAGACAGGAAGCAAACAGGAGACAGGTGTTAAAAACAATCCGCAGCATCTGGCACTGCCTCCCGGCTGCTGGATGGGCTTGTGCGCACCCAGATCCATGCCGGGGTGCGCCTCCTAGCGGTTGGTTGAGACTCTGTCCCACGCACACCGGTGTCCGAAGGCGTCCGTGTCCCGCTGCTTTGAGTTCACCGCTTGGCTCAGCAGGCGCAGTGCTTTGCTGGTGTCAGTTCTGCAGTCAGGTTTGTCTCCAGAACAGACCACGGGGCTTGTTCCTGCCATCAGCTGAGGCCGTGGGGTCCAGGTCCCAGAGGAGAGCGGGGGTCCAGGGGGCTGGGGTGGCAGGGTGGACAGACTCCCCCACTGCAGTGCCTGGTTCCTGGATGGAGCTGGGGGGAGCCTGTGGGATCCCTGGGCGCGCTTGCCTCCAGACACAGAGTGGGGGTTGAGGCCGTGACTCCAGCAGGATGTGGGGTGGTGTCAGCTCCTATGGACAGAGCAGATGGGGGGAGGCATCAGAGCCAGCCAGAGAACAGTCCTCCTGGGGGACTCTCCTGCACCCCCTGCCTGCCCAGAGCCTGTGAGGGAGGCACATGGGGCCAGTGCAGGGGGAGCAGGACATGGGGGTGGGAGGGTGGTGGTCAGCCCCACCCACAAAGGTCCACACTGCGGAGAAATGCCAGAAAGCAGTGCCCCCCCGGAGTTGTCCTCGCCCTGAGGACACGTCTCCCTCGTATGTCCGTTGGGGAGGCGCAGGCCTGGCCTCTGCCCGTGCTCCTGTTAGGCTGTAGCTCAGCCACCCTGTACCCACACCTGAAGCCAATTTATTTCGGAGCCAGAAATCCATCCCCAGATGGATGCTCCTGCCCACAGGCACTGGGGTAGTGGACACAGGCACACCCGCCCGCCTCCATTCCACCAGCGGTGAGGGACAGTTGCCTCAGGCACAGTCAGGATGGACCAAGCGATGCTTGACCGTTTCAGCCAGAGAACTAGGTCAGACTCGGACACAGGACAGGTGAGCGAGGAGGCTGGGAGGGCGGCCCAGAGGGGCAGAGGCCTCCTCAGCGATGCTCGCATAGAGAAGTCCCGTGTGCTCTTTCCTCGCGTGGAAGAGGGACTCCTGGAGAGTAACTCACCTGTCCAAACTCCTAGGCCCCATCTGCTGTGCCGAGCATCCCACAAGGCCCTGGAGGGCGTGCTCGTCAGCCCTGTGCACACCCAATCTTTCAGGATAAGCAGGGAAGAGAGGGAAGCCGTGAAGACACACAAGATCCCTCAGCCTTGGCTGCCGTGTGCCCACCAGACCCGGGAAGTTGCCCTGTGGCCATGCTTGCGAAGTGTCCCTGGCGCAGGCCTGCTACGAGTCACCTCAGAAGAGCAGGGCATACAGTGAATTCATTAGTTTTCCCCCAAGTATCTCTTGGGGATAAAAATCTGCTTCAATTCAATTTAAACTCTAGAAACTGGCAGAAAAGACGATTTTCTCATTGCTCAGACGTTGACCCCCACTCCCATGTGCAGGGGGCCAGCTCTGACCTGGTGAGCGCAGACCTGGTGGGCGAGGCATGGAAACAGCCCTTGGCGGTCACTGCACACTGGCAAACCCACAGTCCTTAGCCCACAGTCCTTAGGGAAGCAGCTGGGGGACCCCATCAGGTGCAGGGGCTGCCCTCGGGGCTTCCGGGGACCTGAGATCAGTCCTGCTCATCTCCCAACGCTGCCAGCTTCCTTCACTGACGAGCGGCCTCCTCCTGCTCAGCTACCTGAAGCTGCCCCTGCGGGGCTGGTCACCAGAAGTCCCTGCAGCCCTTGTGGAGAGGGGAGGCCGTCCTGCTAACACGGGGTGAGGGGGCTGGGTGCTGAGGTCGTCCCAGGCACGCCCAGGCTCATCCAGCCAGGCTCGGAAGCATCTGCCTCCGGGCAGGGCCTGAGACAGCCGCCTGCCTTCGAGCTTAAGGGGCGGGAGCTCAGCCATTGAGCGCGGCACACACTCTCCACCCGCCAGAAGTGCGCCGACAGCCTGGTGTGCAGAAAGGCCCCCGCGTGAGCACAAGCCCCACCTTTCTTGTCTAGATCAGGGCTCCCCACTCCGCACCCCAGCCCCCCGGCTCCAGTGCCTCTAGGGCCTGCGTTCCCTAAATAAAGGCTTGTATTTTGCTTCAACCAGGTCTCGTTCATTCTGGGACGACACCCCCAAAGAAACCCCATTTTCCTTGGCCCTCCTCCCGACCGCAGGCGGCCACTCATCCGCTTTCTGTCGCGGGGTTTGCTTGCGGCGGGCGTGTCACATCCGAGCAACTGCGTGTGTCGCTTCGCGTCGGGCTGCCTGGGCTCGGCTGCCGTTTCGGGGACTCGCCACGTGGTCGCCGGAACCCGGCGTCGGTGCAGGAGGGGCCCCTCGCCAGCAGCCCCCGCGGGCCCGGCCGCGCGCCACTCACCTCACCTGCGGGACGCCCGCCAGGACATGCAGAGCAGGATGAGGAAGAGGAGGAGCACGAAGGCGGCCAGGCCCACCCAGAAGGCGATGAGGATGGCATCTGGGGGGGAGAGAGGCAGCCGGGGTCAGCGCCGTCCCGTGACCAGCGGGAGGAAACAGGGCCCCGGCCTGCAGAAACGGGGCGTCCTTCCCCTTCCCTCTCAGCCACTGGGAAGGCTTGGCCGCGACCCCGGAGCTCGGGGAGGAGCCGGCAGAGGGGACGTGGCCTCCCGGAGGAACCACCGCCGGGTCCGTCCGGAGTCTGGTGAGGGGAAAACGCTGAACGAACCGGGTGGCACCCCCGGGGTTTGCTTTTTCAGCTGCGACCACGGCCCCCTCCCTGGGAGGGAGAAGAGAGGCCTGTGGGGAGCTCGGTGTGAACAGCATGGCCTCCCTCCCTCTCGAGGGCTGCCGGGGCCTCTGCTGACCAGCCCCACGGCAGCTCCAGAGACCCCCCGAGTTAGCCAAGCAGGAGGCCGCGTGCTCGCCCGGCGGCCAGGGCCCCTGCCGCAGAGCCGGTGCCCGAGGTCTGCCCCGGCCGGGCTGCTCCACGGGGTGGACAGTGCTGGCCCCTCTTGTTCGGGTGGACAAGCCCAGATAGGGGCAGTGGCCGGAGGGCCGAGCCCTTTGGCTGAAGGGGCAGGCAGCACCCAGTAACTCGCTTAGTCTCTTCCGGGCACTGGGGCGATCCCGGCAGGTCAAGGGATTTCTCCGGCCTCCAGGGCAGAAACACGCTGCTCAGGCGCAGTCGCAGTGTGGAGGCCTTGCTCGGTGGGGGACGGCCGGGCCCGCAGGGCCGTGGTTTCTCACCCCAGACACACTCCTGGGGCCTGGTCAAGACGCCGCAAGCCTGCACGTGCTGGCCGTCTACACCGGGGGCCGGGGGGCCTGCTGGAGGCTGCTCCCCTGACAAGCACTTACTAAGCACCTATGGGGCCAGGCTCTGCTGGGGGCTATGAAGGATTCAGAGGGGGCCCACCTTGCACCCCAGTCATCACTGACGTCCTTTCCCTGCATTCTCCTCCCACAGCACCCTCCCGGCCTCCTGCAGGAATGCTGGCGCCCACCCTGGCCTGCCTTGCCATGTGTTCAACTAAACGACGCTCACGAACAGGTGAAAAGGTGAAGGGGTGAAGGAATGAGTAAGTGAGCGAATGGGTGACTGGGGTGTTAGAAATGTGTGAGTCCTCAACACAGAGATGTTGGGGAAGGCCTGGGGGCAGACGATGGTATCATGTCAGCTCTGCTCTCCACAACGCTGACAAGCAGAGGGAGAAACCGGGGTCTATAACGGTTGATCTCGGCCCCTGCCCGCATCAGAAGCAAGATGGCAGGAGAGACGCAGAATGTGCAAAAGGGGTCGTGAGCTCCCAGGACGTCGTGATGAGCCACACGTTGCGCTCACACTCCAGAAAAGCAAGGGCCGCAAAGACACACCTCCTCACCCCCAACCTCAGGCACACCCGGGGCTCTCACATCCTCTCCCCTTTCTGGTCTTTTCGGTCTCCTCCTGATGGTGGCGCCCTACGGCTCCACGCGGATAAGGCGCCCTCTGGGCTTCTGCAGAATCAAGTTCCTTTTCCCAGAAACTCCCGGACTGTGACAGGACGGCTCTCGGCCTGTCCGGCCTCCCTTGCCCGGCCTCCCTGCAACATTCCACAGGTGCGTTTCCTGCGCCGGCCCAGCGCTGTGGCTGAGGTTACAACCCTCCAAGGGCAAGAGGAGGTGCTCTCAGATTCTGCGGGGCGCTTCAGGTTCCCTGAGATGCTAATGCTCTTTCTCCTTCCTAAGAGCAAAAGGGCAGGATCTGAGGGCCTTAGCACCCACAGAAACTCTGTTGGGGCCTCTAAGGCCGCAGCTTAGAACATTTAGCCCTCGAGACCCATCCTTGTCTGCTCCAGCCCTTGACACAGGCAAGGAGAGGGCGCAGCTCACAGAGCTTGTCCCCAGAGAAGTGAGTTTTGAATCGTCAGCCCCCAAAGGCGCTCAGTTCACCCCCAGCCGTTTCCCGTACGAAGTTCTCATTCATCACGTTCTGTTGAAAAGGGCAGCCAAGAAAATCAGCTTCTTTGTCCTCTTCCTACCAAAGGTTCAGCCTAAGTACTTGGAGAGAACATTTTGTCCCGAGGGCAAGAGGCCGCCATGCCCCACACTGAAAAGGCTGGAACATCCCAGGCTTGTGTCTCCTGCGGGCCCCAGGCTGGCTGGACAGGAAACTGGCCCCGTGGAAAACTTCCCTTCTCTTGCCTGCTCCCTTCTTCTCTCCCTTCTGGAAGGAGGGGCACGGGGGGCCTCTAGAGTGAATTGTTGGGGGGGATGGGGTGAGGGACAGGATGGGGGGACACGGAGGAGGGGCACGGCAGGGTGGGGCTGGACTGCACGCGTGTGGAGGGGTGTTTCTCTCCTAATTGGCCTGAACAGATCAATCCAACCAAACTGCTCCCCGCTGGGGAGAGCCCTATTTTGTTGAGTGAAAACAGCTACATTTCAGGTTTCGCGTTCCTCCAGAGCTACTCACTTCGGGGTCTCCGAGTCCTAGGAGAGATTAACTTCCCGTCTTGGGGACTGACAGCGGAGCTCAAGGCCCAGCCGCTGGAGGTGATGGTTCCACATTCAGATTCCCACTCGGCCATTTCCTGGCAATGTGGTCCAGGCAGCTCGGGGTTTTCACAGCCGTGTCTTAGGGAGCCGTCTGCGTGACACAGACGGTCGGGTGGGTGCGGCAGGCTGCGCCTCCCATGCTGCCTCTTGACATGGTCCGGGCATTGGGGGAGACAACCAAGAAGCGGGGAGTTCCTGTGCTCCCCTGAAGAGGGAAAGTTGTACTTCCCAG